TCTATTAGTAGAGATCAATGAGTAGGCTGGTAGAGTTGTCCAAATGAGAGGGGCTAACCTAGAGTTGTTATGGTATGAGTGAGGAGAAAGTGACGCAAAGGAAAAATGTTGTAACGATAGAATTGACATGTCTTGGCAGCTGAGTGGATATAGGACAGGTGGGGAGAGTGAGGGGACAGTAAAGAATGACTGCTCTGTTGGGAACTTAGGTCACTGGAAAAATGGTGGATCTATCAGCATATAAAAGGAAAGTTAAGAGGGAAGGGGGTGAGGTTAGGCATAAAGATCATAGAATCACAGATTTAAAGCTAGAAGGGATTTTAGAGATCATCTAGACCAAGCCCCTCCTTTCAGACATGAGGAAACAGAGGGCCAAGGAACTTGAGTCATTTGTCTAGGATCATACAACTAATAAGTGTCCAAGGCAGGATTCAAACCTGGGTCTTTCTGAATCAACCCCCACCCCCACCTCCACCCACCACACCAGTTTGGTGAATGGTTAGATTGATAGGCCTATGGAAATATCCAGCAATTGGTTACAATTATGGGACTAGAACTCATTCGAGAGATGAGCTCTTGAAATGAGAGCTAAATAAGTATACTTAGACAGTATAAGTATCTAGTATACTTAGATAAGTATAAGTATACATAGAGGTGTACTGTGGAAGGTATTGAAAGAGAGAGAGAAGAGAGAGAGAGAGAGAGAGAGAGAGAGAGAGAGAGAGAGAGAGAGAGTTCAGAACAAAAAGAAGACAGTGCTAACCAAAATCTGAGTTTTACCCATTTATATGCAGAAGGACATGGATGATCATTCAGCAAAGGAGTCTGAGAAGTATTAGCCAGATTGGTAGGAGAAGGATCCAGAAAGTTTCATGAAAATCTGGACAGGAGAGTGTTTAGAAGGAGGGAATGGTCAACAGTGTAAAATGCTGAAGAAACCTAGAAACCTAGACCATTGGATATAGCAATAAAAGAATCATTTGTGACTTGGATAGAATAGTTCCAATTGAGCAGTAGGTTCAGAATTCAAATTACCAGGGGATGTGAGGGGGAGGTTGGAAAGTAGAGACAATGCTGATAAAGACCTGATTTCTAAAATATATAGAGAACTGAGTCAAATTTATAAGAACACAAGTCCTTCCCCAATTGATAAATGGTCAAAGGATATGAAGTTTTTGGATGAAGAAATTACTTATAGTCGTATGAAAAAATGCTCTAAATCACTATTGATTAGAGAAACGCAAATTGAAACAACTCTGAGGTACCACATCACACCTATCAGATTACGTAACATGACAAATCAGGAAAATGATAAATGTTAGAGAAGGTGTGGGAAAATTGGAACACTAATGCATTGTTGGTGGAGCTGTGAACTGATTCAGCCATTCTGTGGAACAAGTTGGAACTGTGCCCAAAGGGCTATAAAACTGTGCATACCTTTTGATCAAGCAATACCACTAATAGGTCTATATCCTAAAGAGATTATAAAAAAGGGAAAAGACCTGCATGTACAAAAATAATTATAGCAGCTCTTTTTGTGGTGGCAAAGACTTGGACATTGAAGGGATGCCCATCCATTGGGGAATGGCTGAACAAGTTGTGGTATATTATTGTGATGGAATACTGTTGTGCCATAAGGATGGCAAGGATGGCAAGGATGTTGTGCATAAGCAATGCAAGGATCCAAGACAACTCCAAAGGAGTCATGATGGAAAATGCTACCCACATCCAGAGAAAGAACTATGGAGTCTGAATGCAGATTGAAGCATAGTATATGCTGTTTTTTTTTCTTTCTCTTGGTTTTTCTCTTTTGTTCTGATTCTTCTTTCACTATATGACTAATGTGGAGATACGTTTAATGCAATCATACAAGTATAGCTTATATCAGATTGCAACCCATCTTGGGAAGGGGAGAGAAGAGGGAGGGGGATAATTTAGAACTCAAAATCTTATAAGTAAATACTGAAAAGTTAAAATAAATAATTTTTTTTAAAAGTAGAGACAATCTAAACAGCCTTTTCTAGGAGTTTCTCTGTGAAAGAGAAGAGACATATAGGAAGAAATGTTTAAGTGATATTAGAGTCGAGTGATAGACTTTAAAAGCTGGGCATATCTGTGGGCAACAGAGAAGCAACCTGTGGATAGAGATTCAAAATTAGGGAGAGAGAGGAGCTAAAGAAAGTAGTAAGCTCCCAGAGGGGAAGGGATCAGGGGCATGAATAGAGTGTTTTAGGAGAGAAGGGGGGAGTGATACTTAGGTGATTTGAAACACAGAATTAGGTAGGAGGAGTTCATGATGGCCTCATTTTTTTTTCAATGAAATGAAAAAAAAACAGAAAGAGGAGGAAGAGGGTAGTGTAGGGAGAGAAGAAAATGTTTGGGACGTCTCTCATGGGGAACATAAAGAAGTATCAATTAAGGACAAGTTAGTAGTGAGCACCAAGTTGTTAGTGAATAACAAAAATGTCCAGTGGACCCAGTTAAAACAACTATGTTACTTCTGTCTCTGTTCATTTCCATGAGTGTAGAGAAGAAGGCAGGTGGTGGAACTAATCTATGAATGGGTTTTGGAAAAGAATGAGTGACCATAGGACAAGAATGCAAGGGATTTAAAGGTGGAGTGTAGTAGAAGTTCAACTAGTAAATTATAGGGTCAAAAGGAGAAAAGTGAGACCAGAGCAACGGTGATTGCTTGAGGGAACTGGGTAGAACAGACTGACTGGAGCTTGCAGTGAAGATGAAGAATAGGAAGGTTGAGGCATGGGGCGGTCGGGGGGGGGGAAGACAGAGAGAGAGAGAGAGAGAGAGAGAAAGAGAGAGAGAGAGAAGAGAGAGAGAGAGAGAGAGAGAGAGAGAGGAGAGAGAGAGAGAGAGAGAGAGAGAGAAATGAAAGAGAAGAATTTCAGAATGATGGCTTGTGGAAAGGGAACACTTGTGGGTGATGCTGACCATCCCCGTACATCCATGCATAGCTAAGTGAAGGTGCAGATCATAGGTTGATCAACTGCAAAACAAGTATATTTGAGGAGATATCAAGTGTGGGGTTTGAAGTAGAGAAGAAGATTATCAATCAAATACTGATCTTGAAAAAAGAGAAAAAAACAACCTGGGAGTTTGCTGAAGTTTTAATCCCAAGGATTTACATTTGAGTTGTAATCATCAATGAAATTACACCCTGACACAAATATATAGACCATTTATTTGTGCTCAATATTTTTTTTAATTTTTTTTTTTTGGCTAGGCAATGGGGTTAAGTGACTTGCCCAGGATCACACAGCTAGTAAGTGTTATATGTCTGAGGCCGTATTTGAACTCAGGTCCTCCTGAATCCAGGGCCAGTGCTCTATCCACTGCACCACCTAGCTGCCCCTATGCTCAATATTTTTCAGAAGGCTGTAATTTAGTAACGTTTCCTTCAACCTAAAAGTTCCACTAAAAACCCAAACTTTCCCAATGACAGTATAGAGTAGATGATGATGGGTTTAAAAAAAAAGAAAGAAAAAAGCAATGTGGTTATTGAATTTGTTTAACGAAGAACATTTGTGTAGGCAGCTAGGACGTACAGTGGATAGACAGAGCTCTGAACCTGGAGTCAGAAACACCAAGTTAAGTTCTAGCCTCAGATATTTACTAACTAATGACTTTGGATAAGTCTTAATCTTTCTCTGCCTCAGTTTCCTCAACTGTAAGATGAGGATAATATTGGCATTTATCTACCAGTGCTGTTGTGAGAATGAGATAATATTTATAAAGGACTTTGCAAATTTTTAAATCCTATATAAATATAAATTATATGTAATATCATATGTACATAGAGTGCTTAATGACATTGTATATACGATAACTATAAAACAAAAGCTAGTTGTTGTTGTTGCCATTATTTGCCTGTGTTTTTTTTTTTCATTCACAGATATGGAATATGGCCATACAACTTTTTTAAGAAGCTGGGCATTCCCGGACCAAGGCCTCTTCCATTCATTGGGACATTTCTTGAATATCGCAATGTGAGTATGAGTATACAGAAGAAATTCCTTCTTTATCAGTGTTGTGATTGTGGGGCCCATTCTGCTGTTTCTTTACTTTTTATATCTCCCTACTGCCACTTTGTTACGTACTACCTTGAAAAGGAAGATTTGGCAGCAGGGAGATGGGAACAGAAACAACAGCAAAAACAAAAACAAACAGAGGCAAGGTTGGAAGGCTAATTTCTTGCAGCCACCAAAGGAAACCAGCATTTGAATATCTGGAATCAGCATGGTGCAATGGTAGAAGCAGTGGTGGTGGAGTCAGAAGCCCTAGGTTTGAGTTCTGATTCTCCCTCATACTAGCTGTTTAGCCCTAAGCCAATCAGTGCTAAGGGGCAGCTAGGTAGCAGATGGATAGAGTGCCTGCTGGCTCTGGAGTCAGGGGGACTTGAGTTCAAATTCAGCCTCAGATACTCACTAGCTGTGTGACCATGGGCAAGCCATTTAATCCTGTTTATCTCAGTTTTCTCATCTTTAAAATGAGCTGGAGAAGGAAATGGCAAACTACTCCAGTATCTTTGCCAAGAAAACCACAAATGGAATTATGAAGAGTTGGACGTGAAGAGACTCAAAAAAGAAAAGTCAGGGCTAAATCACTGAACATCTCTTATTCTCTCTTTGATCATCTATGAAATGAAACAATAAAAATACTTTCACTGTTTACCTCTCCATAATATGGAATAAAGTACTTTATAAATCTTAAACAGTATATAAATGTGGACACTTATTGGAGATAATTGGGCTTGGAGTCAGCAAAACCTAGGTTTAGATTTCATCTCAGACTCTTACTATCTGTGTGACCCCTGTGCAAGTTACTGCTTCTGTTTCCTCATCTGTAAAATGAGGGGTTAGACTTGATGGCCTCCAAGGTCCCTTGTAGTTCCAAACTTCTAATCCTATCATTCTTCCTGCCTTCATCTTCATCATCTTCTCCTCAACCATCAACATGGAGGAAAAAGTCTCAGAGCTCCCCACTATCAAATGAAGCCACACCAAAGAACCTTGGTATTCCTCCTTTTAGTACACTGGGTTATATTCTGTATGCCCTAAACTTTTCAGATTTTTGAGTAGGAGACCAGACCTGTGATTTTATTGGTATAAGGTACTCCTTTGGAAGAAACTCCTTCTATTATTGCAGATCAGTATTTACTCTACAAACTTAGTTTCAGGGAGTTCTCAGGGGCACTGAGATGTGGAGTATACTTGTGCATGTCAGAGGTGGGACTTGAACCCAGGTCTTCCTGACTCAAAGACTAGCCCTCCACCACAATATACACTCCCTACATTCTGGACCCTGTGTGCTGGGCACAGATACTGACTTAGCACTCATTTCTGTAATGATCTTTCTGTTGCTGGCTTGTGTCCATTTATGGGTTAAATTGGCCATTTTTTATTCTGCACCAATGCTATTCATTACAGGGCCCCACAGAAATAATGGGTAGTTGCCCCCCTCAGTAAAATTAAGGAGTTAGCCTAAACCAGAGATTCTTAATCTTTTGTGTGTGTGTGTGTCAAGGTCCTCTTTGGCAATCTGGTGAAGTCTGTATATTTGTTCTCAGAATATTGCTTTTAAACATAGAAAATAAAATATATACTATTAGAATGGAAGTCAATTATATTAAAAAGCAATTATCAAATATTAAAAAAAAAACAAATTCATGGACCTCAGGTTAAGAACCCCTGACCTAGATTAATTCTAAGCCCATTTCATCTACAAATCCTTTGTGATGGCTAATGTGGGAATTTGTTTTGCTTAACTATATAAATATTTATTAAACATATATATTTTTCAATTTGCTCAATGGGGCAAGGTGGTGAGTAGGACAGGCAAATTAAAAAAAACTCATCGAATATATTTTTTAAAAATTTAAAAAAAGTCAAATCCTATGCAAGATAAGAAATGAATAAGACAGTTCTGCTTCTTGACTTCCTCTCTCGTTTCCTTCTGAAGCCATTCATGAAGAGCCCAGGGAGCTTAGAATTGTTTTCTTTGAGTGTTCTCCACCTCTTTACATAACAAGGTTGTTAGACCAGATGATCACTCCGGCTCAAGCATATTTCTGATTCCCTTGGTATGGTGCTCATGATGCCAGTGCAGTAAATTGGTGTCCTGCCCATTGTCTAATCTGTTTTAATTATTCTTCAGGGAATATTGGAGTTTGACCAGAAATGTTTTAAGAAATATGGCAAAATGTGGGGGTAAGTATAAAATGCCCACATAGAACTCATAATCTAAGATGTAAGAGAGTTACATAGCAGGTGTTGTGTGAGGGACAAGGGTAAATGTTGTTTGTATAGGTTGGAAGGAAGACAAGGAAAAGTTGATGTCTGGGCTTCACCTTAAAAGATAAGAAGGAATTCAATGAACAGATTATGCAGCTAGAGAATGGCATTGTGGAAATAGCACTAGATTTGAAGTCAAGCCCTGGATTTGAATCCCAGCTCTGTGGCTCATTGCCTGCATGACTATAGATAGGTGAGCAGTCACTTCCCTCACTTGGGCCTCAGTTTCCAACTCTGTAAAAATAACAGAGTTTGACTAGGTGCTCTCTGAGAACCTGTTCATCTCTAAATCCTATGATTCTATAATTATAAGACAATTACCAGCTACAACAAAGGATATGATGCCAAACACACTTCATACTTAAGGAGAAGGGAGGGCTCTGTGTAGTAATGAGGACAGATTCCATCAGTTACACCAGCAAGTGAGGAGCACACGCCTTGCTGAGAACTGCCACGTAGGCTGTGGTGAAGATGTTTCAGCAGAGGCCAGTTTTTACCTTTTTTTTTTGCATATGAAATTGCAAATCTATAATGCCTTATATATTATATAAAGTTATTATGTAACTTTCCCCCCCTTTTTTTCTTTCTTCTCCTTCCCCCATCCTAGAGGTGGCTACCATTAGACAAAATATGCATATAGCTGTAAAATCATTCTATACATACTTTAATTTATCAATTCTTTCTCTGTATGTAGATAGTGTCTTCCTTTATAAGTCTTTTATAGTATTTAGGCATTTATAACAGTCATAATGACATAGTTGCTTAAAGTTGTTCTTAAAACAATGTTACTGTTACTGATACACAACCTCCTCTTGGTTCGGCTCATTTTGCTCTTCATTTATTTTGTGCAAATCTGTCCATGTTTTTCTAAGATCACCAAGTTCATCCTTTCTTGTAGCGCAGTAGTATTCCACCATGATCGTACACAACTTGTTCAGCCATTGCCCAATTGATGGTCATCCCTGCAATTTCCAGTTCTTTGCCACCACAAAGAGAGCTGCTCTAAATATTTTAGAACATAAAGGTTCTTTTCCTTTGTCCCTAATCATCTTGGGAAACAGATCTCATAGTGGTATTGCTGGATCAAAGGGCACAGGCGGTTTAATAATTCTTTGGGTATAATTCCAGATTGCTCTCCAAAATGGTTGGATCAGTTCACAGTTCCACCAACAGTGAATTAGTGTCTCAATTTTTCCATATCCCCCCCAACATTTGTCTCTTTCCCTTCAATCTTTTTAGCCAATCTGATAGGTGTAAAATGACATCTCAAGGTTATTTTAATTTGCATTTATATAATCAATAATGATTTAGAGCTTTTTACGTAAGACTATAAATTGTTTTGATTGCTTCATCTGAATAATTCTGGTTCATATCCTTTGACCATTTATCAATTGGGAAATGACTAGTATTCTTATAGATTTGACAAAGTTCTGATCTTTGCTACATTTGTTTTATTTGTACAAAACCTTTTTAAGGTTTTAAGATTTTAATCGAAATTACCCATTTTATACCTCACAGTGCTATCTCTTATTTTTTTCATAAGTTGTTCATCTATCCATAAGCCTAATAGGTAATATGTTCATTGTTCTTAAAATTTTCTTGAAATATCTCTCTTTATATTTGTCACATATCCATTTTGATCATATCTTGGTAAATGGTGTAATATATTAGTCTATGCCCAATTTCTGCCGGAGTGCTTTCCAGCTTTCTGAACAGTTTTTACCAAATCAATCCTTTTCCCTAAAACTTGTCTTTATACTTGTCAAACACAAGGTTATTATATTTATTTGCTGCAGTAAATTATGTATCTACTCTGTTCTACTGATCTACCTTTCTATTTCTGGGCAGGTACCAGATGATTTTGATACTCACAGGCTAATAATATACTGTAAGATCTCGTATTTCTTCCTTTATATTTTTTTCATTAGTTCATTTATTACTCTTGACCTTTTGTTCTTTTAAATGAATTTTGTTATTATTTTTTTCTAATTAAATAAATTTTTTTTTGTAATTTAACTGAGATGTCATTGAATATATGAATTAGTTTAGGTAAAATTGTCATTTTATCATATTGGCCATATCTACCCATAAACAATTGATATTTCTCCAATTATTTAAATCTGATTTTATTTGTATAACATTTTATAATTTTGTTCATATGGTGCCCAGGTTTGTTTTGACAGGTGTACTCCCAGGTCTTTCATAACATCTAGAGTTATTTTAAATAGGGTATCGCTTACTATCTCTTCTTGCAAGGTTTTGTTTGTGATATATAGCAATTCTGGTGATTTATGTGAATTTACTTTATATCCTGCTGCTTTCTTAAAATTATTTATTGTTTCAACTAACTTTCTAGTTGGGTCTTTAGGATTTTCCAAATATATCACCACATCATCTGCAAAAAGTGATGGTTTTATTGCCTCATTCCCTATTCTGATCCCTTCTATTCTCTTATTACTATTGTTAGGGTTTCCAATACAATATTGAACAATAGTAGTGACAGTGGTCATCTTGTTTCACACTTGATCTTATTGGGAAGACTTCTAACTTAATCCCTATTATAAATAATGTTGGCTGGTAGTTTTAGGTAAATACTTTTTTTTATCAGTTTAAGGGAAAAATCCATTTATACCTACACTTTCAAGTATCTTAAAAGAAATGAGTTTTGAACTTTATCAAAAGCTTTTTCTGCATCTATTGATATAATCATATAATTTTTATTCCTTTATTATTGATATAATCAATTATGTTCATAATTTTCCTTATATTAAACCATCTCTGCATTCCTGGTACAAATTCTACTTGGTCATACTGCATAATCTTTGTAATATATTGTTGTAAACTTTTAGCTAGTATTTGATTTAGGATTTTTGTTTCCATATTCATTAATGAAATTGGTCTATAATTTTCTTTCCTGTTTTTTACTTTTCTTGGTTTAGGTATCAATATTATATTTGTTTCTTAGAAGTAATTTGGTAGGACCCCTGTATTGCCTACTAGTCAAAATAATTTATTTAGTATTGGAATTCGTTGGTCTTTAAATATTTGGGAGAATTCACTTATAAATCCATATGTTTCTGGTGATTTTTTTCTTAGGAAGCTCATTTATGGCCTGTTCAATTCCTTTTTCTAAAATAGGTCTATTTAAGCGATTCTATTTCCTCTTCTGATAATCTAGGCAGTTCACATTTTTATAAATATTTTTCTATTTCACATAAACTGTTATATTTGTTGGTGTATGAGGCAAAACAACTCCTCATAATTCCTTTATTTCATCTTCATTATTGGTATATTCACCCTTTTCATTTTTAATACTAGTGATTTGCTTTTCTTCTCTTTTTAAAATTGTATTAACTAGTGGTTTATTTACTTTATTGTTTTTTTTTTCATAAAACCAGCTCCTAATTATTATTAAATCAAAGTTTTTTCACTCAATTTTTTTAGTCTTATCTTTATTTTTAGGATTTCCAATTTAGTTTTTAGTGAGGGATTTTTAATTGGTCTGCTCTTTCTCTATTTTACTGATATAAGCATTTAAATTTTCTTCTTATTACTATGTCTCATAGATTTTGATATGTTGTTTCACTATTGTCATTCTCTTTAACAAAATTACTGATTGTTTTATGATTTGTTCTTTAACCCATTCATTCTTTAAAATTAGTTTGTGTAGTCTCCAATTAGTTTTGAATCTATGTTTCCATGGTCCATTTTTAAATATAATTTTTATTGCATTATGATCTGAAAAGGATGCTTTTAATATTTCTGCATTTCAGCTTTTAATTATAAAATCTTTATGCCCTCATATTTGCTCAATCTTTGTAAAGGTACCATGACCAATGAGAAAAAGGTGTACTCCTTTCTATTCCCATTAAATTCTCTCCGGATAAGTATCATATCTAGCTTATCTAAAGTTTTATTCAATTTCTTGTCTTCTTTCTTATTCACTTTTGGTTAGATTTATCTAGTTCTAAGATGGGAAGATTAAAGTCTCTCACTATTATAGTACTATCTACTTCCACCTTTAATTCATTCAACTTTTCTTTTAAAAATTTAGAGGCTATAGTATTTGGTGCTCGTAAGTTTGTGAAATTCATGACCCCTCCCTCACTAAAAATGTTGTCAATCAGGTGTGAAGCCAGGAGGACAGAGAAATGGGCACAACAGAAGATGTTGCCCTGTGAACTGTTTCCATAACTTAATTAAATTCCTAAAGCCCCCATATTATCAATTTTGTTTTTATTATTTCTTCGTATTTTGTAACATAATTTGCTTCCTCTTGACCAATTCTAGTTTTCAAAGACTGATTTTCTTTCTTATGATTTTGAATTTCTTTTCCCAATTGATTGACTTTCTTTTCATAATTTTCTTGGATTCCTTTTATTTATTTCCTAAATTTACTTCAATCTCTCTTATTTGATTTTTGAAGTCCTTTTTAATTTCTTCCAATAATTTTTTTTTTGGCTTGTGATGATTTGATGTTGTTCTTTAGGATAGGAGTGACTTTTTTTTTAACCTCATTATCTTCCTCTGAATATGAACTCAGATCTGTTTTTACACCGTACTAGCTATCTACAATTGAATTCTTTCTCCTTTGCTTACTCATTTTTATTTTGTTTTATTTTATTTTTGGCAGCTTATTGTTATAATCAGGTTTTAATCCTGAGTTACAGGTAATGGTGTCCCAGGCCTCAGGTCCTCCTTACTGTTATATTCTGAATTCTGTCCAAGGATCCAATCTCGGGCACTCCTCTCCTCCCCTAAGCCACAGCTAGGGCCCCCAACTATGCTTTCCATAAAATGTTCTTGCTCACTGTAGTACTGAGATCACCAGGAATGTGCTTGCTCCTCCTTGCCCACAGCCACAGCCTGGGATCACATCTGGTCAGCACCACAAGGGGTGGTGCCCAGACACAGAGGATCCTTCAGTCTTCCCCTACTCAGCTGTCTGATCCCCATACTAAAAATCAATGAGGTGGAAGTTCTTGAAGTGAAAGTTCCTAAGGCCTTGAGATGAAAGTTATTGAGGCCTAGACTGCTTCCCACCCAGCCGCCCCCAGGACTTGAATGTTGATTCAATGGACATGGCCTGAAGGTGTTTGCATTCTACTAAGGCCAAATCAGTCCCTGAAGGTCCTGTCTTTCCTGAGGTCCTCTCAGGTTTTCCTAGGAGGACAACTGCTTTTCACCTTTATTTTTGAAACTCTATATTCGTTTTGAGGTGTTCTGTCTGTTGTGGAGAAAATTTGGAGAGCCTGGAATTTTCTGACCTACTCTGCCATCTTCCCATAATCCCTCTCACCCAGTTTTTTTTTCCTTTAAAAAAATGATTAGATTTTGGACATAGCTCCCTAAATCATCTTGCCTCTGGTTACCTTTGCTGTTGTAACATACATTTTCTATAGTCCCCTGTACCGAGAAAACAAAACATCTTCAAAGCTAGAGTTAATAATTTCTGGAGCTGTCTGCTGAGAAATACATGTGACCAGAGGCCAAAGAGTTTGAATTTATGGAAGAAACAGACAACGGAATAGAAAGCAACAACTAGTCATGGGGGTAGATATTTTCCAGGCCACCTGATTACTTCTGAATGCCCTCTGGAGTCATGGCAATTTTTCATAAGATTACTCAATGAATCAACAAGCATTTTTTTTTTGTCCCTCTGTGCCAGGTACTGTGGAACAAACACTAGAATGATAATCCCTGCTCTTCAGTAACTTATGTTTATCAATTTTACATTAATAGAGTTAGCATTGGAAGGAATCTCAGAGTTATCTAGTCCAATTCTTCATTTTACAGATGAGGAATCAGACTCAGAGAAGTTAAGTAACTTGCCCAAAGTAACACAGCTAATTAGTCTTAGATTCAGAATTTGAACCTGGGTCCTCTGACTTAAAATCAAAGACTCCTTCTACTGTTTCATCAATTTGAGGGTACCACCTCCATCTTTGGCATATCCATTATACACAGTGGGGAAAAAAAAATTCTGGACATAGGAGATCCAGAGTCTGAGTGCAGGCTCTAATTCTTACTAGTAGTCCCTTCACCAATTTGTGTCCTAGTTTCTTCATCTGGAAAATAGGAATATTAGTGCTTTTACCACCTACTTCACAAGGTTCATGAGATTGTAGATTTAGAGCCAGGAGAGACCGTATATGTCATCTAGTCCGACACACTAATTTTTATAGATGAGGTTCCATTTGCCAAAGATCACACAACTAGTTTCATCAGAGGTGAGATTTGAATTCAAGTATTGTGATTCCCAAGTTCAGGCCACTTTTGTGAACCTTAAAGCACTATGGGAATGAGAACTATTTTTCTCTTAGAGCAGATGGTTCTTAGCCTTTTTTAGGCTTTGTGGACCCCTCTGGCATTCTAGTGAAGCCTATAGACCCTTTCTCCTAATAACATTTTTAAATGTATAAAATAAAATTCACTGAATACAAAGGAATAAATTATATTGAAATACTGAAAAATTTTAAATTATGAGAGAATTTTGAAAAAACACATTCATAGAATTTAGGTTAAGAACCCCTTGGTTTAGGTATCAACATATGTGGTCAAGAAAATAGCATTGATCAGGGACTGTGAATTATGGACTCCTTCCACTGATGACTATCACCAAACATTTGTAGTCTAGGGTTTGTAGTTTATTAATCCAGTCTAGTCTGCTAGAGTTGCCTAGATGAAAAAATCATCACCTGGTAGCCAGCTCCTTGGTGATGGGTCTCTCCAAACTAAGCTAGGCTCATCTTCACATGACAGATCCATAATTTGCAGCCAGACCATTACTTAGAGATTTTCTAGGTTAGTAGGGGATTTAGCAGTGCTTGAATATTGCTAGTACAGTCTTCAGGAACCTAGAGTGACCTCCACATAATGATGAAGTTTTGCTGAATTATTGTAATTGCAGGATGGAGACGGTATGGTTCAATAGAATGAGAACTGGCTGTGAAGTCAGAGAATCTGGTTTTCAATCCTGCTTTTGATGCACACTACTGGCTTGACCTTAGGCAAGTCAGTTAATGTTTCTTTGCCTGAGTTTCTTCATTAGTAAAATCAGGGGGTTAGATTAGATGTCCTTTCTTTGAGGTTCCTTCTAGCTCTAAATGTGTGATTGTAAAATATATACTGAGAATGGGACAGGAATGAGTAAGGGGATGCAAAAGGTAGTGGTGGTGGCTATTTTATCATCTAATTTCAAGAAGATTGAGCATTGCAAAGACAGATATTGTGATTTGTTGACTTAAGAAGCTAACTTTCTGGGCAGATCTCTGAAATACATGTTTAATTTTCTTTATCTTGATGCTCTTTATAGGTTTTATGATGGCAGACTGCCTATCTTAGCCACTCTGGATCCAGCTTTCATCAAAATAGTTCTAGTGAAAGAGTTTTACACACTCTTCACTAACCGTCGGGTAAGTTACTGGTAGACAGAGGTATAGCAGGATGCTTTTTGGCTTGAGGCCATTCAAGCACTCTAACCTAAGCTTTCCAATTCTGTAGGAAACCTCGGTGACTTTGCTTCAAAATCTTCTTTTCTTACTATGTTGGCTACTTTCCCTAAGATTGCAGATTGATCATGGTCTTGGGTGGCTGAAAAAATCATTTATGGAATAACGTGTACAAAGCCCTTTCTAAACAGCTATATCTCGCTCTAGTGGCTTGATCCACCATGAACATGGCCAGATACTTTAAAAGGAAGCCAGAATTAGAGGTTGTGTAGCAGCACTTGGGAACTGGCAGTGCTTTTCAGAAAGTAAAGACCTTATGTCTGTATTACTAAACCATATTCAGGTATGGAAGGGAAGTCAGGATTTTGGTGACAATAATAACTTTTATTGACTAGAGCAGGTTACATGATGAAGGTAACACAATTGAGGAAGATCAATACTAGGGTTCCATGGCCAAAGAGTTATTTTTTAAAATATAAAATTGACCCTTCTCAAAACACTTGTGCTACAGCACAAGTGTTGATAGGTGATTCTACTCTACCCATGAACCCAAGACATTGTACCCATGTATCATAGTCTGCTGGGTACCAGGAAGGTTACCTTCTTCCCATTCCAGAATATCTTTTCCCCTACCTCCTACCTCAGTGTCTAAAATTCTGTCATCCATAATTTATGGTTATTTCTGTCTGGTCTTCAGGGCTTTTCCATTTTCCAGAGAATCTCTGTTAAGATGCACAAAATGCTGCTAGGAAATGGGAATACCTGAAGCCACGTCATCTAATTTCTTATTGGGGATTAATTGGCAGCTAGCTAAAATGCAGACCCAGTAGAAAGTGGACACAGGATCAGTGCCTGAGGGAGACAAGGCTACTGAGATAAGAGAGAGAAAGGTGCTACTGGGAAAACTTTCCCTGCTTTGTAATTTTGCCCTGGGCCAGCCCAACATGTGATGTAAACAATAAATAGACTTTGAAACATTTTGGAATGCTGAATTATTTTCTGGAGAGTTTAACCCATGCAAAATTTATTAGTTTTCTGCTCAGCTATCTTCCTTGTGGTCTAGTGAAAATAATGCTGGAGTGGGAGTCAGGAAACCTGGCTTTCTGTCCCTGCTCTTTGAGACCTTTGGCCACTTATGTAATTTCTCTTTGTCTCAGTTTTGTCCAATGGGGATAGTTATACCTAGCCTACATTGCAGTGATGAAAAGAATATCCAGTGAGATTGAAAGTTCTTATAAAAATCTAAGTTGGTCTACAAAATTAAAGTATGTTAAATTGTATATAGTAACAGCAACAATGTGTAATGATTAACTCTGATTGACTTAGCTCTTCTCAGCAATACAATGATCCAAAATCACTCTAAAAGACTCATGATGGAAAATGCTATCCACATCCAGAGAAAGAACTGATGGAGTCTAAATGCAGATTGAAGCACATTATTTTTCACTTTATTTTCTTCATAGTTTTTTTCCCCTTTGTTCAGATTATTCTTTCACAATATGACTAATATCTATACATGTAAAAAAGATATACATGTTAAAGCCCAAAGTTAATATTTCTAAAAACTCAGGTTTTCAAACTCTATCAATAAGCATTAGTTGATCACTTACTATTTGCTGGCTGCCAAGCATACATAGACAAAAATTAGCTAGTCCCTGGTCTCAAGAAGCTTCCATTCTATTGGGGAAAACAAATGAGTGTATACAAAATAAATGCAAGGTAATTGACATTTTTCGGAGGCCCTATCAGCAAAGGAGATCAGAAAAAGTCTAACGTAAGAAGTGGATTTTGGGCTGAACTTGCAAGGAAACTTGGGATTCTAATAGAGGTAAGGAGGGAGTGCATATGGAAATGGAAGGTGCAAGGACCTAGAAGATCCATTTATTGTGAAGAGAAATAAGTAATAATAAAATTGCAAATGTTAGTTGGGGTCAGGTTGTGAAGGGCATTAAATGCCAAGTAGAAGGGTTCATTTGAATCCTAGACAAAATGGGGAGCCACTGGAATTTACTTAACAGAAGAGTAACATGATCAGACCTATGCTTTAGGACTATCCCTTTGGAAGCTGGGTGGAGGATGGATTAGAGAGAGGTGACTCCTGAGACAGGGAGACCAATGAAGAGATTATTACAATAGTCCTGCCCTGTAAGAAGTGATGCAGGGCCTGAACTAGAGTGGTGGTTGTATGAGAAGAGCTAAGGGGGAGAGAGGGGAAAGATGTGGACATGGAATCAGCAAGACTGGGCAAATGATTGGATATAAAAATGAGAGAATATCAGGGGTTGACAATGACTCTGAATCTATCGACTAGAAAGGATAGTCCTTACTAGTTCAAGGATTACCTGACCTTGACAAAATCATTTCCATCCTACTGGAGAGTGGTGCAATTCTGTATAGTCTGTTACCTTTATGAGGACAGCTGTCATTTATAGAGCACGCTACAGTCTACAGAGTTTATTCAGTCAATAAACAAACATTTAGTAAACACTTACTGGCTTGTAACTCACTATGCTGAGCACTAGGATTTTAAAGAAAGGCAAAAATGCTTCTTGCTCTCAAGGAACTTACATTCAAATTGAGGAGTCAAGTTGTAAACAATTAGGTACATATTACACCTGCATATACATTCTTATACACTTAGAAAGATACATGTAAGTGTATACATGTGCAGGTGTATATATGCACAAAGTAGATAGACATTAACTTTGGAGGGGAATGCATTAACAGCAGTAGGGATCTAGAAAGTTCTTCAGAAAGTGATGTTATTACATGCTCTAAATCATTATTGATTAGAGAAATGCAAATCAAAACAACTCTGAGGTACCACATCACACCTATCAGATTGACCAACATGACAAAACAGGAAAATGATAAATGTTGGAGAGGATGTGGGAAAATTGGAACGCTAATACATTGTTGGTGGAGTTGTGAAATGATCCAACCATTTTGGAGAACAATTTGGAGCTATGCCCAAAGGGCTACAAAAATGTGCATACCCTTTGATCCAGCAATAGCATTCCTAGGGCTATATCCCAAAGAGATCAAACAAATGGGAAAAGGACCCACGTGTACAAAAATATTCATAGCAGCTCTTTTTGTGGTGGCAAAGAATTGGAAATTGAGAGGATGCCTATCAATTGGGGAATGGCTGAGCAAGTTGTGGTATGCGAATGTAATGGAATACTATTGTGCTGTAAGAAATGATGAACAGGCTGACCTCAGCAAAACCTGGGAAGACTTAGATGGTCTGATGCTGAGTGAAGTGAGCAGAACCCAGAGGACTTTGTATACAATAGCAGCCACGTTATGCAATGACTAAGATTGTTAAACTGAACCCTTCTCAGCATTACAAGGATCTAAGACATCTCCAGAGGCCTCAGGATGGAAAATGCTGTCCACATCCAAAGAAAGAACTATGGAAGTCCAATCGCTCTCACTTATTTTTACCTTAACTTGAATTTTGTTTCATCTTTCTGATGGTTCCTCCTATTGGTTTTAATTTTTACTTACAACTTCACCAATGTGAAAATATGTTTAATGGGTATGTAAATGTAAAGCCTATGTCAGATTGTGCGCCGTCTTGGGGAGGGTTGGGGGGTGGAGAAAAAGGGAGAAAAAATTTTCAACTCAAAAGCGTATGAAAAAAAATAAAAAATAAAATAAAGGGAGTAAGTTAAGATAAAAAAAAAAAGAAAGAAAGTGATGTTATTCCAAAAGATAGAGATGAGGAGGAAGAGCATTACAGGAATGGGGGACAGCCAATAGAAAGGCAAGGGGGCTGGAGATGAAGTCCCACATCTCATTCATCCTTGCAACATTCCTATGACATCATAGTGCCTTTGTTATTGCTTCCATTTTTTTAGAGGAGGAAGCTGAGGCTAACTCAGAGCTTGAGATCACAGGCCCAGCACGTGGAACCCAAACATGAACCTGTGTCTTTTTATGACTGCCAAGTCCAGCACTCTCTCTATTATACTACACTTAAAGTATAGTTAAAGCAGTTCTTACGAGAGCTATGGCTAATCATTCTCAGCTTCACAAAAGTCAGAAGAAGGCAGCGTTGCCAATGGGTTTTTCTCACTTGATGCCTGTTGACAGGGCTTTGGCAAATGGTTGGTAAAAGCAGTTGGGGGAAACAAGAGTAAAATTAAATGGCAATTGCCCTCCCCTCACCTTTTTCTTATTTTCCAGGCCTATGATTTCATCAGTACGAAACTTCCTATTGTAGATACTTCCTTGTTATTGTTCAGTTATTTCAGTTGTGGCTGATTCTTCATGACTAAATTTAGGGTTTTCTTAACAAGATACTGGAAGGGTTTACCATTTCCTTCTCCAGCTCATTTTATAGATGAGGAAATTGAGGCAAATAGGGTTAAGTGATTGGCCCCATAACTAGTAAGTATCTGAGGCCAGATATGAACTTAGGAATATGAGTCTTTCCGATTCCAATATCCACATGCCACCTAGCTACCCCAAACTTTTTCCACTAATGCAAATTGGAAACTCAAAGTTTTAGGGTTGTCTGGGATCGTTAAGGGGGTGAGTGACTTGTCCATGATTGCATAACTAGTATATGTCAAAGGCAGGACTTGAACCTACGTCTCCTCGTTCCAATGATGGCTGTTTACTCACTACACCAGGCTCTCTCTGGTCCATAAAAAGATCAAAACCTTGAGCTTTGTCTACCTACAATTGTTTCTAAATAATTGAACCAAGTGTATTATGAATAATCTCCTTTGAATCATCCAGATTTCTTGAAGTCAGTCTGGGCTCATTCTAATTGGGTATCAGTCAGTCAGTCAATAAACATTTTAAAATTGCCTTCTATGTGCTAGGCTAACCAATGGGAATGCAAAGAAAGGAAAAGAGTTCCTGCTTTCTAGGCACTCAGAGTATAATTGGTGTCAGTAGGATAAGGTAAATCTTATTAGCGCTTTTTGAAAGGCTATGTAATATAGTGAAAAGAAGTCCCACCCATGACTCTAGTATTGTGATTGCGAGCAAGTAACTTTTCTCCTTTGAGTCTCTTTCCTCATCTGTACAAAGAGGTTGCTTACAGTGTTCAAAACTGATATCCAAGGATGATCCTCAAAACCCAAGGTTTTGGCAAAAAGCTCAAATAAGATAAAAAATCTAAAGTGCTGTATAAACCTTAAAGCCTATATAAAAGTCTATCATCATCATCATCATAATTACTAATAAGTTCAAGTGTTCTTCCTGGCAATAGCTGATTCATGTTAAAAAGTGAGCTGGGCCTCTCTCTTAGGACATCTCTTTTTAATAATCTTATTTTTGTTGGTTTCTTTTGTTTTTCTTTTAATCAACTTTATTTCCAGATCTATATTCCTCCCCCTAATCCCTTTCCTTATGCGGTGTGCCTATGAGGAATAGGCCTACACCAAAGACAGGAGGCCTTAAGACAGAGGTTTTTAACCTGGGGTTCAGGAGTCCATGGATAGGTTTCAGGGGATTTATGAACTTGAATGGGGAAAAAAATTACATTTTTATTTCAACATAATTGGTTTCCTTTGTGATCTTATGTATTTGATACATTTAAAATGTATTAATTAAAATTTAAAAAATACATTATTCACCGTTTTCCTTTCTCCCCTTCATTAGTGTTTTGCTTTTGACCACCGCCTCCTTCAGTCCCTTCCCCCTTTTATTATCCCTTTCCCTTTTCTTCCCCTTTATTCTTACTGCTGCTTCCCTCCCTTCTTTCCCCCCTCCCTTTTCTTTCCCCTTTTCCCTCCCACTGCCTATAGGGCAAGTTAGATTTTGATACTTAACTGATTATATTATGCCCTTCTTGAGCCTAATCTGATGAGAGTAAGGTTCAAACAATGCTCCCCTCCCCTTCCTTCTGCTGTAATAGGATTTTGTGTCTTTTCCTATAATGTAATTTACCCTTGTCTGCCTCCTCCTTTTCAGTACCTTTTCTAAGATAGATTGATCCACTTATTTGGATCCATTTAACTTGATTAGATTTTTTTTTATCATTACATCAAAGTCAACTAATATCCACCCTCTTTATGTATACTCCTTTAACAAGGTGTAATAACAATACAGTTCTCAAGGGTTGCAAGTCTCATATTCCCTTGTAGGGGTTTAAACAGCCCCCCCCTTATTAACAGCATATTGTATCCTTCTGTCCCATTTACCTTTTTAAGTCCTTCTTGAGTCCTGTACTTGAAGATCAAATTTTTTGTTGAGCTCTGGTCTTTTTATCAGGAAAGTTTGGAAGTCTCCTATTTCGTTGAATATCCACCTCCTCCCTTGAAAAATGATGCTCATTTTTGCTGGGTAATTGATCCTTGGCTGCATTCCAAGCTCCTTTGCCTTACGGAATATCATGTTCCATGCCCTGCGTCTTTTAATGTAGAAGCTGCAAGGTCCTGTGTAATCCTGACTGTGGTTCCATGATATTTAAATTCTTTCTTTCTGGCTGCTTGCAGCACCTTCTCTTTCATCTGGTAATTTTGGAATTTTGCTATTATATTTCTTGGCGTTGTCAATTTGGGATCTCTTTCAGGTGGTGATCAGTGGATTCTTTCTATGGTTATTTTCCCTTCTGGTTCTAGGACTTCTGGGCAGTTTTCCTTTATGATTTCCTGAAAGATACTGTCCAGGCTCTTTTTTTCATCATGATTTTCAGGTAGTCCAATAATTTTTAAATTGTCTCTCCTGAGTCGATTTTCCAGGTCGGTTGTTTTACTGATGAGGTATTTTACATTTTCATCTATTTTTTCATTTTTTTGTTTCTGTTTGACTGATTCTTGCTCTCTCATAGAGACATTAGTTTCCATTTGTCCAATTCTAGTTTTTAACAGATTGTTTTCTTCTGTTAGTTTTTGTACTTCCTTCTTCAACTGGCCAATTGTGTTTTTTAGGGACTTGTTTCCTTCAGTACTCTTCTGTTAGTTTTTGTACTTCCTTCTTCAACTGGCCAATTGTGTTTTTTAGGGACTTGTTTTCTTCAGTGTATTTTTTTTTCCAACTGGCCAATTGTATTTTTGAAGGACTCTTTTACCTCTCTCATTTGACTATTAAAATCCTTCTTGAGCTCTTCTAAGAAGGCTTTTTGGGCTTCAGACCAGTTCATATTCCCTTTTGTTGTTGCAGATGTGGGTTTGTTGACAATGTTGTCCTCTTCAGAATTTCTGTCTTGATCTTCACTCTTCTCATAATATGAATCTATGGTACGTTTCTTTTTACTCATGGTGTTTCTTTATTCCCTGGCCTTTAAAGAGATTGAGCTCTCCTGCTGGGGAACAGAGGGTACTGACCCAAGCTTCTTGTGTTGGGAGCCTAGGTCTTGGTCACTGGCTTTGCTTCTGGGGCCTCTTATGCTGGATTGGAGCTGTAGGTTTCTGGCAGCTTACCTTGTGTTGGGCTGGAATCAGCAAGGCTGGAACTTTCAGGCAATTCTAGGTTGCCTGCTTTTCCTTTCCTTTAGCTTTCTTCGCTCCTTTTAGATGGCTGCTGCAGGATGTTTATCTGCCTGGGGCCCTGCAGTGTTGTCTCCCTCGTTTCTGCTAATGCACGGGAGATTCCTTTGCAGTGGAGTGAGGCTCCTGGTGGTTTTCTGAGTTGGTTTCCACCGGTTCCCCTGCCCTCACTGAGGCACTCGGAGGTCCAGGTGTTGGTGTTTGCCTGCTCTACCACCTGGGCTTCAGGATTTCTTCACAATTGGGGGCTTCAGGGCTCCTACAGCTCACCTAATGTTGGGGTGGAATCAGCAAGACCAGGGCTTTAGGAAGCCTTTAGGTTGTTTTCTTCACCTCCTTTCAGATGAATGCTGCAGGGTGCTTATCTGCCCCTTGTTTTTGCTGAGGCACTGAGAGATCCGTTTGCTGGGCTACTGCACTGCTGCTCCTTGTCTTTCTTCTAGTTCAGGTGTTCCAGGGTTTTTTTTTTTCTGGGCTGATATTTTCTGGGTTTGCAGAGGTTTATAGGGGAGAGTGAGAGCGACTACCTTTTCACTCCGCCCTCTTGGCTCCCAGAAGCGGAAGTCAAAAAATACATTATTCAGTGAAAGGATCCATAGGTTTTACCAGACTGCCTGAGGAATCTATGACACACACACAAAGCTTAAAAATCCCTGCCCTAAATTATTATGTTCAAGTCCAAAATATTGATGCTTAGAATCATTGCCTACCACCTTTTTACTACCCCACCTCCTTCTGTATCTCTAAAGATTTTTCTGAGAGGAATAATATAGCTTGTTATTAATTTCAAAGTGATTTAAAATCCTTACTTGGAAAAACATCATAACTTCCTCTAACTCAATTGGCTTCTGGTTCTATTTATTTAGAATTTTGGTTTAAATGGAAGTTTGGAGTCTGCCATCACCATTGTTAAAGGAGAGAAATGGAAGTGGATCCGGACCATTATCTCCCCAACATTCACCAGTGGGAAACTGAAGGAGGTAAGTATGGTTCAGTCTGTTGCCAAAGCTTCAATAGTAATGATCAAGGACTCAAAGAATGTTGGAATCATAGGGATCGGCAGTATTCACAAAGATTGAGGATGACTGGATCAGATTCCCTTATGGCCTTTCTCTGCTCACATTCAGATTTTCCTCCTCCTTTTGATGTTGTTTTTTTTTTCACCTTTCCTTCCTCCTGCTGATATTAAGCTTCTGATTCTGACATCTTAAGAATACTGACTGATCATAGTCAACATTTACTTTATGTGAACTGAGGTATACTATCTAGCTACCATGAATATGTGTAAATAAGAAAGAGTCAAAACTTTTCTAAATTAATTTATTTAAGCAAAAGGGATAGAGGGAATAGTGGTGCAGAACTATTTGAAAAATGCGATTTTGGTAATATTGTCCGCAACCCCAGTATTTTTTTAAATTTAAATTCAATTTTATTTTCAGTTCTGAATTCTTTTCCTCTCTACACCCTTCCCTGACCCACTGAGAAGGCAAGAAAAACAAAATACACTACAAATATGTATAGTTGTGCAAAAATAATTTTCACCTTTACAATGTCAGCAAGAAAGAAGAAAAGAAAGGAAAAAAAGAGGGAAGAGAAAGGAAAGAAGGGGAAGAGAAGGGAGGGGAAGGGAATTTTGTTACATTCATTTTGATTTTTTTGGTATGTGGTTGCTTTGTTTTCCATTTCCATTTACAGTTACTGTATATTCATATGTGTATTTATGTATATATGTAAATATATAGGCTCTGCTTGCTTCACTCTTTATCAGTTCATGTAGATCTTTCCATGCTTCTCTGTATTCACCACACACATCATTTCTTACAGCACAATAATATCCCATTATAGTCATGTCACAACTTGTTTACTCATTTCCCTATTCATGGGCATTTTCTTTGTTTCCAATTCTTTGCTGTCACAAAAGTGCTGCTGCAAATATTTTGGTGTATATGAAGACTTTCTCCTCATCTATGGCTTCCTTGGGGTATACATCCAGTATCAGAGTCTTTGGATCAGAGGGTATGGACATTTTAGTCACTTTAATTGCAAATTGCTGTCTAAAATGGTAGTACTATTGTATTTCACCACATAATTGTCACTGCTGCATAATTGTCTCACCCTATTTTTTCAGTCCAAAAATTGGTTTATAGCCTTTTACCATGCAGTCATCACATGGTGTAATTCTGTTTGTCATGCCACTTAAAAGGAAAACAGGGCAGCAATGTATTCACCAATGGCATATTGATATGCATTTATCTCTTGCACATTGCAAGCAGCGAACCTAGAATTCTCAGTGCATGCGCATTGTCAGTATTCAATTTTAACATATATTCATGAGCATTCCATGCATTCTAATCTTGCACCAAAGACAGGTTAGTAATAAATTATTTTTAAGTAATACTGGCACAATTTAAAAAATAAAGGCTTCACATAATGGTCGCACCCCACTTTTTGTAAAAAAAAAATTGACATAAAATCTGTGATGATTATGTGGTGAAATATGGTATTTCACATCTTTACCAACATTATATTGGTATGTCTATCCTCCAAAATACCTTCAACATTTACTTGCAATTTTTTGGGTCATTTTTGCAAATTTGCACAAAGTGAGGGTTTTTTTTTTTGATTTGCGTTTATCTTTAGTGATTTGAACAATTTTTCATGTGGCTGTAAATATTGTGTAATGTTTCTTTTGAGAGCTTTTTGCTCATAATTAACTATTAGGGAATGGCTACATTCAGTAATTGCTATTTAATTTCTCTTTTTATGTTCTCCTGATGAGTTTTGTTAAAGATAAACAGAAATGCTGATGCCTATGGATATTCCCTCTATTTTTTTTTAAATACAAACCTTTGCTTTACCCAGATCATATTGGAAAAATCTCTGGTTTATCCCTACTAAATATAATGATTGGTTTTAGATAGATAATAAGAAAAAATCCATTTATTCCTATGTTTCTATGTCTGTAAAAGAAATACATGTGCTTTGTTAAAGGCCTTTTCTTCTTCTATTGATAACATCATATGACATTTTGTTGTTCTTATTAATGTGGTTTTTTGTGTTCATAATTTTCCCAAAACAGAATCTAATTTGATCATGGTATAAAATCATTTTCATATGTGCTATAGCCTCTTATATTTTATTTCAAAATTTTGCATTGATATTCATAAGGGATATTCCTTTATAGTTTTCCTTCTCTGTTTGGTCTCTCCATAGTTTAGGTATCAAAACCTTGGTAATATTAGGTATCAAGACCTTATATCATCAGATGAATTTGGTAGGGTCCCATCTTTTCTTATTTTTGCAAACAGTTTACTTGTTATTGGAATTAATTGTTCTTTGACTGTTTCATAGAAATAAAAATGTTTTTCATATTGTTCATACAATTTGACTTTCTTTTTTAAAAAATCAGATTGGTTAGTGGTTTATTTCATTGTTTTCCCCCCACAAAAATCAGCTCCTACATTTATTAATTCATTGTTGTCACTGTCATTTGTTATTCTCTTCTTTCACTTTCAGAATTCCTATTTTTGTATTTATTGAAGTTTTTTGTTTTTTGCTTTTCTATTCTTTTGTTGATAAAAGAATTTAGAGATAGAAAGTTTCCTCAAATACTGTTTTATTGCATCTCCCCAATTTTTTTATGTTGTCATTATTTTCATTATTTTTGATGAAATTGACTATTGTGTCTATGATTTATTCTTTGAACCACCAATTTCTTAGGCTTATATTATTTTATTTCCAATTAACTTTTTTTTTTGCTTCAAATAGTATTTTATTTTTCCCAAAATTACATATCAAAAAAAATTTTAGCATTCATTTTTACAAGATTTTGGATTCCACATTTTTCTTCCTTTCTTCCTCCCCTCTTCTGAAAATGGTAGGCAATTTGATATAGTTTATACACATGCTATCATGTAAAACTTATTTCCATATTCATCGCAGTTGTGGAATAAGAAACAATCAAAAGGAATAAAAACCATGAGAAAGAATAAAGTTAGTGAAAAAATATGCTTTGGTCTACATTCAGAGTCCATCAATTCTTTATCTGGAAATGGATAGCGTCTTCCTTTGTGGGTCCTTTGTAGGCGCTACACTTGACCTAGAGGGCCACATGTGGCTTCAGTGCCACAGATTCTCCACCCTGATTTTGCCAGTTCTACTTTCTAAGCAGTTTTCCAAGCTATTGAGTCTTTTTTTGTAATTCTTTTGCATCACCCTCATTTTTCGTCATTTTTTTCTTCTACCTATCTTATATGATTTTAAGCTCCTTTTTGAGCTCTTCCGTGAGTTATCCCTGGGCTTGAGACCACTTTCCATTTTTTTTCTTTAGGGTTTTGCCCTTAGGTGTTTTGACATTATTGTCCTCTTCTAAGTTTGTGTCTTGGTCTTCTTTGTCACCATAATAACTTTCTATGGTCAGATTATTATTATTATTACTATTTCTTGTTGTTTTTTGCTCCTTTTTTGGTCTTTTTTCCTTTCTTTTAAATTTGATCTCTGCTCCCAAGGTAGAGGGGGCTCTGTCTCAGGATTCTTGTGCCAGTGGCTTCAGGCCTTGGCTATTTATCTGGGGCTGCACAGATGTTGCCCTGAGGTCCACAGAGGGCCCTTGTTTCTGGTGCTGTGTTGAGGGGTGGAGTGAGGGTTGACCGGCACTGCTGGAGGCTGTAGGGGTCTGACAGCTTACCTGGTGCTGAGCTGGGGTCTTAGTGGTGGTGTCTGGCATGTGTTGAGGCTAGGTGGGGTGTTTGCATTTCCCTGAGGGCTACACTGAAGCACAAGCCGGTCTGGCCCCCAGAGGATGCCTATTTGCCCTGGGCTGTGCTGAACCATGTGGTGGTTCTCAGTCCTGGAGTCAGCCAGTTCCCCTGGATATGCTAAGGCACATGAGGGGTCCTGGTATTGGTTTTTGCCTGCTCTGTCACACTGGGGCTCAGGATCTCTTGCTACTTTGCTGAGGTGGAGCTTGCTACTGGCTTGCTGGAACTCTCCTGTCCTGGAACGTTCTCCCCTTTTACCTGAGATGGGCTTTTCTTGCCCAAACTCCAAATCTCCCAGGCTGAAAGACCACTCCACCCTGTCTTTCTGCTGGCTCTGCTATTTCAGGATTCACTCTGGGGCACTATTTTATGGTTATTTGGAGGTGAATACGGGAGAGCTACAGTGATTTAATGCTTACTCCATTATCTTGCCTACTGGAAGATCCAATGAACTTTTAACTCTTCAGTGGCTCTTTATTGAATGCAATTTTTATTGCATTGTGGTCAGTAAATGGTGTATTTGTCACTTCTTTTCTGCCTCTGTTTATCAATCTTCTCTCTCCCACCTGCATCCCTGCCAATATCTGGTCAATTTTTGTAAAGGCACCATGTAGTCCTGAGGATATATGTATACCCTTTTTTTATCCATTCAGTAATCACCACTATTTATCTTATCTAATTTATCTAAAGTTCCTTTGAAGTTCTTAACTTCTTTATCATCTATTTTTTGTTAGATTTTTTTGATTTTGAAAGGGAGCACATTGAGGTTCCTTATTATTGTAGTTTTACTTCCTATTTCTCCCAATAACTAGTTTCATTTCACCATTCAGTGTCTCTGTGTATGGATGCATGCATGTACACATAATACACACATATACACACACATACATATATATATATGCATATGTTGGTTTGTGCGTGTATATACACACATAGGTGTGTATATGATACATATACACATATGTATATGTGTATACATATACACAAATATATATACATATGCACATACATGCATGAATATATTTGTATTTGTGTATGTATGTGTGTGTTTGTGTGTATATGTATATATGTATTTTATATCTCTATATATGCATACATGCACACATATACGCACACACATACACACACACACACACACACACACACACACACACACACATATATATATATATATATATCTTTAAATCAGCTAGGTGGTGCAGTGGATGAAGTGCTGTCCTGTAGTCAGGAAGACTTACCTTCTTGTCCTCAGATACTTACTGGCTGTGTGACCCTAGGCAAGTCACTTAATCCTGTTTGTCTCAGTTTCTTCATCTGTAAAATGAGCTAGAGAAGTAAATGGCAAACCCCTCCATTATCTCTACTAAGAAAACCCCAAATGGTATAACAAAAAGTTGGAACACAACTGAAAAGCAAGTGAACAAAAATGTGTATGTGTACTGATATTGTTACCTAAAAACATAATATTTCTCTGCTGTCTCTTTTAATCAAATCCATTTTCATTTCTGCTTTGTCTAATACCATGTTTACTACCCCAACTTTTTTTTCCTTTGAAGCAGAATAGATTTTGCTATCTCATTATTTTTACTTAGTATGAATTTTTATGTTTCAAGTGTGTTTCATGTAAATTATTTCAATAGTAAATTCTTCTGTTGTTTTTGGGTGAGATCATCTCATTCACATTCGGAGTTATCATCATGAATTGTATATTTCCCTCTCTTCTATTTTTTTATTCTTTTTTCTTTTCTTCGACTTCATTCTCCCCCATGAAAGAAATAAAAGCAAATGGTGAGAAAGATGGTGTATATGCAGTGCCAGTTGTTTTTGCTCAGTGAAGTGTGCTTGCCATTCCGTGACACTCTTCTCATACCCTCATGTAGATCCCATTTACAAGGGTGATAAAGAGATGCCCAATATATGGTAGAGAGCTCAATGTTATTTCTTGAACTAGGACTTTATGTTAGAGTCAGATTCTGTATACTTCCAGAAGGAATACTATGGTTCTGTTATACGTTATTTGGGACTTGCTTCTTTTTTCTCTGGGCATTGAGTACTCAGTTCTTCAAGGATTTCAGTGTCAGTTCAGGTCAGAGAACCACAAACTTTTAGCAGGCCCTAAGTAGTCTTCACTAGGAAGGAGTCTCTGATCAATGCCCTTCTGGACTTGATTTTGTGATTTTCGTTAGGTCTGGGAAACACAACTGTGAGCTTGCTCATGGTTTTAGCTCCAATAGATAGTTGTAGTCTGCAAGGTAAGTAGACTTAGACATTTTGTGGAGATTTGTAAGGATAAGGGTTGAAACAAAGGTGGCCTTCTGGGTGAAACATAAAGCCAATTAATGAAAACATTTTCTTCCTTATTCAATTAAGAATAATTTCCATTTTCTTTACTATGGAGAATTGATTCTATGCAGAGAAATTCATGTACCTAGCATAATCAGTGATATATAACCTGTTGGACATTCTAACAATTGTGGACTGATTGACTTTGGTCTCTGCTTCAGATGTTTCCCATTATCAAACACCATGGAGATGTTCTCATGCAAAATATTGAGAAGAGAATGGCTAAAGATGAGTCTCTGAATATGAAGGAGTAAGTATGACCATCCAGTGTTTTCAAGGTAAAACAATTGCCTTTGCAAGACTGGGGCAAGCTTGATTAGAGAATTTAGAATGGAGACTCTTCTCACTGAATAAAATAGAATTCAAGGTAATATGGGCCCTGGACCTAGAGAGTCAGTTTAAGAGTCTTGAAAATCAGTGTCCAAGTCCTACCTCTGATGCTTACTGGGCTATGTGACCCGGGACACATCACTTAACCTCATGTATCCCAAGACAAGTAATTGACAATCTGTTATTAGTAGATGAAGTTTCCTTATTTGAGTTCTCTCTACCAAGGAAGTCATAGAACAGAGAGAGAGAGAGAGAGAGAGAGAGAGAGAGAGAGAGAGAGAGAGAGAAAAAGAGGAGGAAAAGAGAAGAGAAGAGAAGAAGAAAGAGTCAGAAATAGGGACAGAAAAAGACAAAAAGAGAGTCATGGAGACAGACATTTGTCTTTGCCTAGACATGTAGATTATCCGAAGCCTATAGGCCCAGAGCCCACATTAAATTGAAATAGATAAAAAGATGAATTTTGCTTAGAGATGTAATGGGATCATTGGCCTCAACTACAAGGGAGGCAGTATGGTATAAAGGACAGAAAGCTGGCTGCAGTGTCAAGAAGACAGATAGGTTCAACTCTTGCCCCTTATATATGCTTCCTCTGTGTCACTGGACACCTTAATTAAATTCCCAATGTCACAGGCAAGTTTTAGAAGAGCTACTATTTTGCATTAGAAGAAAAAATTTAATTAGCCCCAAATAAAAGAACTTTACCAAAAGTTTTTAATAGAACTTCACGTGGAAGTTCTGTCTAGTGAGCAGGAATCTCTTCTACAAACTCCCCTATGACTTCCCCAGTAGCCCACTTCTTGATGTGTACCAAATGTGGTAAGACTTAGAAGCAGGGCTTCTTTATGAATCAAATCTTTCAGTTGTATTAGGAAATTTCCTCTTCAATGTCCCCCATCTCAACCTGCCCCCAATAATCCTGAAATTGTGCTTTTTGACTTAAATTCTACTTACAGCCCTTCATTCTTGCAGCTTAAGTCTTTGGTCCATATTATAACGCAAATCTGCCTGGAAGAGATGACCAACTTATGAGCAGTCATTTCTCAGAGTAGCTCCCAAAGCAACTTTTGCTTTGAAGAAAAGAGGCTCTGGGTGACTAAGAAGTTAGGAAAGTCTGAGAGTGGTGTAGAACTAAAGCTGTGGTACAGTTGGAATGAGTGCAGAATTTTAAGTCCAAAGACCTGAGTTCAAATCCAGGGCTGGTATTAATTACCTATATGACCTTGGACAAATCACCTAATGTGTCTGCCCTTCAGTTTCCTTATCTACTGAATGATTGGACTTGGACTAGGTAATCTTCAAGTTCCCTTACTACTCTTTCAGGTTTAAATACTGGCTCTGCCCACTTACTATCTTGGCAAGTGCCCTTTGGACCATAGTCTTTGTTCTCAAAATGAAGTGGTTGAACTAGGTCAGGAATTCTTAACTTGGCATCTGGGAACCCTTAAGAGGACTGGGGCAAAATTTCAAGGAGTCTATGACCATGAATGTAAAATGATTATGTTTTTATTTTCACTAATGTCCAACTGAAATTTTGCATTATGAAAATGAGCATTATGAATGAAGGCAACAATCATTATTCTGAATAGAGGTTTATAGATTTCACCAGACTACCAAAAGAGTTCCTGACACACAAAAGATTAAGAACTCTTGGCCCCTAAAGTCCCTTATAGTTCTAGCTAAGTCTTTGATCCCCTGAAATGGTCAAGTTCATCATTAGATCCACAAGTAGAAAGAGCGTTAGTCTGACCAGGAGTTAGGACAACAAGGTTTTTCATTATGACTCAACCAATTATATTAGGGTGTTTGACTCTGGACAAGTCATTCCACTGATCAAAGCCCCAGTTTCCTCTTCTGTAATATGATGATAATAATCCTTTACCTCACAGAATTGTTCTGAGAAAATTCTCTTCAACCATCCTTGTAAACTTGCAGGTGCACAATAATTGTTGGCTGTTCTTGTTATGTGTGAAAATATATGGTAACGCATTGGGCAAACATAAGTTGATGATATTACCGGCATGGGGAAACTCACCCTACCCACCCCCCCATCACAATAATTTGTGACTTAGTAAATGAATCATAGAGAGTTACAATGGACAGGCATATAGAGGTCAAGTAACTTACATAGTGTCTGACCAGTTCATATTCCCCTTTGAGGTTTCAGATGTGGGTATATTAATAATGTTATCCTCTCCAGAATTTGTGTTTTGATCTTCCTTGTCACCATAATACTTCTTTATCGTCATTGTTTTTCTATTTTGTTTTTTTCTCAAGCTATTTGCCTTTTTTTTTTTTGCTTTTAAAGTTCATCTCTGCTTCTGGGGCACAGGGAGCACTGTCCCACACTTCTTGTGCTGGGGTTAGGGGCCTGGATATTGGTTTTGTGTGCCGGGGGCCTCAGGTGCTGGGAACTGGAGGCTGTAGGTGTCTGGAAACTTACCTGGTGCTGAGCTGGAGCTGGTGGTGATGTGCCTGGTGTTGGCACTTGCCTGTTCCACCACCTTGGGTCTCAGAATCTCCCACTAGTTTGCTGAGGTGGGGCTTGCTGCTGGCTTGCTAGGATTCTGTAATGGTCCCCTTTAGCCACAGCAAGAGGGGCCTTTACTGTTAATTCCCCTAGCCTCCCGAACTAAAAGACTACTGCACCTTGTCTTTCTGCTGGCTCCACTATTCCAGGATTTTTCCTGGGGCAATATTCTCTGGGTTTTTCAAGGTCTTGGCTTCCAGAAGTTAAAATAGTTCTAGAGCACTTTTCTTATGATCCAGCATAGATGACTATCTTTGATGGTTTGGAGTTGAGTGGAAAAAGCACTGAGCTTGCAGTCAAGCTAGATATAATTTAAGTTTTAATCCCTCATCTGACACTGACTAGTTGTGTGACCCTAGACAAGTCACCTAATCTCTCTAAACCTCATTTTTGCCCATCTGTAAAATAGGCACAATAATGCCTACATAATAATGTAATGTCTATTTTTCAGGGTTTTTATATAGGTCACATGAGAGCAGACACAGTATGCCCCTTGCAGACCTTACAGCAACGTAAAAAATGTCAGCTACTGTTATTATTATTCTAAAAGGGTGTGAATCTATAAGCTCTAATTCAACTTGTTTAATTGAAAAAAAAAACAAACAAAAAAGCCCAAACATTTACTAAGTGTACTGTGCTCCCTGCTGGAGAAAATGTATAGTCAATCAGTAACATCCTGTAGCAACTTAGGAGAGGAAGGGTAGAGAAAAAGGGGCATCAATCAAGGGAGAAAAGAGGATTATTTGGAATATAAGTATTAGGATCTATTCTTGGAATAAGAAAACATTCCTTGTTCAAGAGCAGAGACCAAATATTTTTACAATTCTAAAAGAAGTCCTTTTTGACAAAACTGAAAGGTCTCTTTAAGGAGAGCAAGTAGTTGTTATAACAGTTAAGACCATCTGCTTAGCTGTGTCTTTGCATAACTTTTAAATATTTTATTTCACCTTACTTTCCATCTTAGGCCACTAAGTGGGTGGGGGATTTCTCCTTGGTTAGATCATTAAGATGCTGCAAAATAATTGTAGCTATTACTTTTCTCCCACACATCTATAGTTCCTTGTATACCATATTATAGAATCATAGAATCCTAGAGTGTCAGACCTGGAAGAAACTTTTGTGACACAACGTCATAGAGTTAGGACTAGAAGGGAACTCAGGTATCATTGAGTCCCCGCTTTTCATTTTCCAGATTAAGAAACTGAAGTCTAGAAAGGTTAAATGGCTTATCTAATGCCACTCAGCTAAACAGAGAGAGAACTGGAAGCAAACTAAAGCCTTTGGACTCCTAGCCTCCTTGGATCAATATGTGTGTATGTGTATGTTTACATGGTGTTCAAGCCATCAGTAGCTACACTTGTTCGGTATCTCCCATAATCCCTAGCACAGAGCTGTGTACAGCATGGGTGCTTAAGAAAAACTTGAAAGATCATCTGGGAATCTTGAATTGCTGCCACTTCTGTTTTTGTAATCAATGATTTTTTTTTTCTCTCTGCAGTATCTTTGGGGCCTACAGCCTGGATACCATCACCAGCACTTCTTTTGGTGTGGACATCGACTCCATTAACAAGCCAAATGACCCCCTGCTTGTGCACATCAAGGGGCTGTTCTCTTTCAGCTTTTTAAATCCTCTGCTTATCTTAATATGTATGATATTGATTCCTCATCAAAACAGCTATATCAGTGCTCATTCCCAACCTGAGTGTTTTTGTAGCTCCACAGTAGTAGCTCAGTTTCCCAAGAGCTGGAAAGGGCTGTATTTCATGCCCCAATATTCAAGTAATACTGAAGACCTTTGACAGCAGTATCCCAAGCACAAAGGACAGAATGCATTCCTCACATGAGAGAAGAATCCTCAATTTCCTGAGCCAGCTGGGTGGGTCAGTGGCTAGAATGCTGAATCTGGAGTCAGGAAAAACTGATGTCAAATCCTGACTTGGACTAGCTGGGCAAGTCAGCCTAAGTTTCCTCCTCTGTTAAATTGGGACAATAATAGCCCTTACCTCATAGGGGTGTTGTGAGAGTCAAATGAGATCATATGTGCAAAGTGCTTCGTGGATTGTAAAGCACCATCCACATGCTAGCTTTCATTATTATTACGTGTTTGTATTTTGGCAGGACATTTGGAATGACAAATTGGGAAATCGAACCAATCTAATAGGCATTTGTTAAAGGTCTACTGTGCAAGGCACTGTGGGAGGTGCTATGTATATAAGGACAAAAACCAAGCCAAGCAATAAAGTCTCTACCTTCAAGGAATTTACATTCTACAAGGGATTATTTTTGTTGAGTCATTTTAGTCATGTAGGACTCTTTGTGACCCCATTTGGGTTTTATTGGCAGAGATACTGCAGTGGCTTGCCATTTCCTTCTCCCGCTCATTTTTCAGATGAGGAAACTGAGGCAAACCAGGTTAAGTGACTTGCCCAGGATCACATAGCTATTAAGTGTCTAAAGCCAAATTTGAACTCAGATCTTCCTGATTCTGGGACCAGCCGTCTATCTACTGTGCCACCTAACTGCCCTTTTACAGGGGATACATTAACACATAAATTTTGTACCTACTTTGTATACTTTTTCCTTTTAAATATCTATGTATATATGTTGCTTTCCACCAATAGAATGCAAGCTTCTTGAAGGCAGGTACAGTTTTGTTTTTGTCTATTTATCCCCAGCATTATATAGTATTTTGTATATTGCAGGCACTTAGTATCTTGTTGAATGAATGAATATGCATGATGAGAGGGAAGGGAGATTACTCACACACATGCTAGAGTAATCAGAAGAGGCTGTTCATTGGAGATAGAACATAAACTGAGCCCTGAAGGATGCTAGGATTTTTAGAAATTAAAATGAGGAGAAAGTGAATTCTGGGAACCAAGGAACATGCAGGCATGAAAGTAGAATAGGGGGTGCCAAATTCAGGGAATGGATTGAAAGCCAGGCTGGTTTGACTAGAACTTAGGACCCATAAATCACCCAAAACCAGGGCCATGGTTTTTGCAACCAACATTCCCATTTGGAAGCAGCATTACCACATAGAGAAATGGAGAAAGAATTCTGGAGTGGGAGACAGGCTTATTAGAAAAATCATCTATTGGATCTTGGATTTAGGGCTCAAGATCATCATTTTAGAAATGTGAAAATGGGTCCAAGGAAGGGAAATGAAGAGCTAGGATTTTCTGATTCCAAATTCATTACTCACCACAATGATTCACTGAAATTTTGGCCTTATTAGACTCATTTTCCAAACTTATAGAATATTTCACTCTGCTTGGCTCTCCAAGGACTCTTCACCTTTTCTCTATAGGTCTGGTTAGGTCTAAAAACCTGAGACCCCCAGGCATGCTTCCATCATTTTTCTTTGCTAAACTTCAAGCTTACATTCACTTTCTCATCATACATTTGCTTATCAGCACATTGCAAACAGGCTTCACTGGGATTCCTCTCAATCAGTATCTCCCTTTGAATTTTGAGAGCTTTATTCTTCTCACAGACACTGCTATACTTTACTTAGAGCTATAGTGATTTCTGTAAATCTGATATCTCCTCTACTCCTTTTAAAATTCTTCAGTGCATTTTAATTCATATAATAAGCACCTATAGTATAAGGCTTTTTCCTAGACTCTGAGGGACATTTGAAGGGTCTGTTAGTTACTGGTCCTGCACTATGTAACTTACCATCTAACTGAGACATAAGATACACATATAGTATAACACAACTAGCACTTTAATAAGATGCAAAAAAAAAGTAGTACTGTCGTCTGAGGGGGACAATTCTTATTGCTTGAGAGAAAAAGGAAAGACTTCTTGAAGGAAGTAACATTTGAGTTGGACTTAAATAGTAATTTAACTAGGGAAGGAAAAATGTGATGTGTTACAGGTAGAGCAAGGGCAACATGGAAAATCATATAAAGGAGGAACAGCATGATAAGCACATGTTGTGTTTAGGGGATAGAAAGCAGTCCAGTTTTGCTAGCAAACTGTGTTTTTAGAGGGGAGTTGCATAAAAAATAGCTTTGTAGGCAAGGTGATACCAGATTATGCAGGGCATTATATGGTAGAGGTGATGGAATGCTACTCTGTAAGAATTAGGTAGCTGCTATGGAGGTCTGAGCTCAAGAGTGACCAGAATACAAGTGACCAAGAAATACAAAATTACCTTAGTGGCAGGGGGAAAGATGGATTAGAAGGTGAGGAGAAAGAACAAAGGTGGAAATACTTATTAGGAGGCTATTGAAATAGACCAGATACCATGTCTTAGTGGTCTTTGTACTCCTATCAACTAACGATTCTTAATCTGCGGTCCATAAACTTTGTGTTGTTCAGTCAATCAGTCATGTTCAATGTGATCTCATGGACCAATTGTCCATATGGTTTTCTTGGCAAAGACATTGGAGTGGTTTGTCATTTCCTTTTCCTGGGGATTCAGTGGATCTTTTTGTCAGACAATCAGGGGTGAAGTGACTTGCCCAGGGTTGCATAGCTAGAAAGTATCTAAAGCTGGATTTGAACTCAGGTCTTTCTGACTCCAGGCCCAGTGCTCTATCCATTGAGCAACCAGCTGCTTCATGAACTTAGTTTAAAAAAAAAACAACTTTTTGATAGCTACATTTCAATGTAATTGGTTGCCTTTACATTTTGTTTTGTGCATTTAAAAACATTATTCTGAGAAAGGCCTATAAGCTTCACCATGGTGACTGTTCAAGGGGTCCATGACACAAATTTGCCCTTATTCTAGATGCTTAACACTGAGTTTTGTACAATAAATGCTTTTTTCCCCATTGAATTGTATCTCATTAAAAGTCAGTCCAACAATTAAACATTTTTGTGGAATTAGAAGTTTTTAATAGTAATACGAACAGACTATTAACCTAAATCAAAGGCTTCTAGGATCATAAATTTACATCTGGAAGGGACCTCAAAGGCCATCTAGCTCAATCCCCTTATTTTACAAAGAACTTGAAACCAAAAGAGAGGAAGTGACTTGTCCAAAGTCACTCAGGTAGTAAGTATCAGAGGCAGGGTTAGAACCTAGGTCCAGAACCAGTATTCTTCTATATCATGATCCTATAGTATTAAATGACTTGGACTGGAACTAGGATGGATATCAGAATAATGATATCACTAGTGTTTTCTCCCACTTTTCCTACTGAACCCTTTGTCCCATCATTGACACTAGAAAGAGTCTCTGAAAAGCCTCCTTCTCCCTGCTTTATATTATACTGATCCATTTCTCTTGCCATTTTCTCTAGTGGTGTTTCCTTCTCTTGTACCCATATTGGAAAAACTGAATGTGAGTCTTTTCTCTAAAGAGATTATAAACCTTCTCGTGAATGCAACGCGGCATATCGTGGCAGACCGGCAAAAGAGCAACAAAAGGGTAGGTCTAACCCTACAGCATATGTATGTGTATGTATTTCAGCTTTGCTGAAATTTGGGCGTGAGTAATATCTTTGTCAAAAGATGCATTTTTGCTTTTTTTTTCCCCATAGTTTCCTAAGTTTAGAGCTAGAAGGAAACTAAGTGTTTATCTAATCCAATTCTCTTATTTTACAGCTGAGGAAACTGAGGCACCAAGAATTTAAGTGATTTGTCCCATGTCACAGTGGTGAAGACATTCAATAAATGCATTTCAGATCTGGTATTCAGGGCAACATCCTATTCAGGTTATGGAGTTGAAAAGAACTGAGGTTCCATATTCAATTTGGGTGGTCTTATGATGTAAAAGACAGTACAGTGTGAGGCATGCCTGGGAGTCAAGAGACCTGGGTTCTGTTCTGAATCCTGCAAATAACTAACTAACTATGTAATCTTGGGCAAGTTGTCTATCTTCTCTGGAGCTATGATTGTGTGTGTGTGTGTGTGTGTGTGTGTGTGTGTGTGTGAGAGAGAGAGAGAGAGAGAGAGAGAGAGAAAGAGAGAGAGAGAGAGAGAGAAGAGAGAGAGAGGAGAGAGAGGGAGGGAGGGAGAGAGAGAGAGTCTACTTCATTAGACTCTGCTGTCAATCAAAGATGACGCTGTCATACTTTACTAGTCAGTACCATAAAGCAGAGAACAGAGAGGAGGCAGAAAGGACTTTAAATTATTAGTCCTGAAAGTCCTCTGGAGTCCCATCTAGGCCTGCTACCAATCCCAGCCGCGTCTTTTTCATAACCAGCGTCTTGATACAATATCTGGTGTTCTCTACACATATCAAGGTCTTGCATGAGGTGAAGATGGTGAAGATTCTGTTAGGAAAACTATGCCATGCTGGGGCACGACTTGTGAGGAGAACTAGGAAGAATACCTGTATTACATCCTATTACTGCCATCCAAAATCACTCCTTTAGAGGTTCATTTGTTAGCTGATAGCTTTGTGCTATTAATTTTTAAAATTATTTTTTCAGTTAATAAGCATTTAATTTTTACCCTCTTCTCTTCACTGGAAAAAAGAAAACTCTTATGATAAACAAGCATAGTAACGAAAACAAATCCCCATATTAGCCATATCCAAAATCATATCTCTTTATGTACATGGAATCATGGTTCATCATTTTATTGATCAGGGTTCTTAAACCTTTGAAAGTTTTTCATTTTTGCAGTGTTTGGTATCATAGTAGAAGTACTTATGCATAGTAGAAATTTTTCTGGTTTTCCTCGCTTCATTCTGCATCAGTTCAAATGAATCAAACTGCAACTCATCAAAGGCCTATAGTGAAATATTTATTAAGATAATATTTGTAAATCTCAGCATAGTGCCTTAGCGCATGGTAGATATTTAACAAATCTGTATTCTCTTACCCTTTCTCCTCCCTTTCCTTTCGACTGTGAACAAGGAGGGTATCCAAAATCCTCCTGTTGGCTGCATTTCTCTCACTTTTGAATTGCTTTCTCTAGAAAACCCTTGTTGAAATGGGAATTTCCCCATAGGAAGTTACTTTTCTTTTTGCTGGCCACAAAATTACAAGCATTATACTCATCCTTCATCTCTTGTAACTTGGCCACCCATTACTTGAAGGGGTGATCAGTTGTTAACACTTCAGCATGAATTAGTTAATTTGATCTTTTCCAGTGTGAAAGTAGGTTGAGTATATTTTGATAAAGATATAGAGGAGAGAGTGTAAGGGCATGTGGAGGGCTTAGAGAGGAGCTAGAGGGATGCCATGGTTTTGCCTGGAGCCAGCTCTGTGTGGTTAAGTGCTATTAAGGAATGGATGGAGAGAGGACTGCATCAGGGAAAATCTAAATGTGATGTTTGAGGGACAGGGCAAAGAGAGCACCTTCTCCTTGTCAAGATTCAGTGAATTCTCAGGTATATCAGGTATTGGAAATGTTTAAGAAGCATAGGCCTTTTCTTCTACCAGTCTTTTCAAAATGAAAGTTTTATGATGGGCTACAGAAAAAGATGGAGTTCACAGAAAGACAGATGTAGCTTATATGACTTTAGCCATTTCAACTTGATTTTCACTTTTCTGAACCTTTCTTGTTCCCAGGATCGAATGGATTTCCTGCAATTAATGATTGATTCCCAGGCCACAAATGACCCTGGATCTAAGGAGAGGAATAACTCTCCAAAGGGTAATGTCTGAATATGAACAAAGTATAAACTCAATGATGAAATAGTAGTCCATCATAGTCAATTCATGATTTCAAAGAAAGTATCATTGATACAAAATCAAAGGCCAAAAGAATTTTTTTTTTCCCAAAGAATATGGACTCTAGAGTTTGGAGACCTAAATCCTAGCTTTGGATTTATTAGTAGCTGTGTGACTTTTGGAAAACTCACTTAACCATTCTGGTTCTATGATTTTTGTTTTACTACTCTGTTCCCATTGCAAAAATCCTCACCAGATCATTGTTGTACTGTTGTACTCAGCTGAGTGACATCATAAAGCCTCCATCAGCAACCACTAAGATTGAACTTCCAATTCATTTCATCCATGTCAGAATGGCATTTTACAAGGACTGGGAAGAAACAATAAATTTAACATGACATTTCGCTTTGATTAGTCATGATCAAAGCTCCACCCATCCAAGAACCAGAGTGAAATATTTCCTTTTGGCTATGAATTTGAGTACTCTCTAGGGTCCTGACCATTGCTTTCTCTCACATTTATAACTTGGTTCTCTCCCCAAAGCTCTGACTGAAATGGAGATTGTGGCTCAGGCAGTTACTTTTCTTTTTGCTGGCTATGAAACTACAAGCACAACCCTCACCTTCATTTCTTATAACTTGGCCACCCATCCTGAAATCCAGAAGAAACTCCACGAGGAGATAGACAGTAATCTACCCAACAAGGTAAAAAGGGCAAGTAATGTTTATTTACTCAATTTAATCAATTAACTCAATTCAATAAACATCTAGCATGCAATAGCTGTTTATTATTGTTTATATATCCAGAATGGAAAAAAAAATCTGTCTCTCTTTTTCTGTCTGTGTCTGTGTGTCTGTCTCTCTCTCTCTCCTTAAACACAATAAGAAGAAAAGGTCAGTAGCATAGGAATGGAAGGACACCTCTTCTTCCTCACCCCCTTGCATTCAAGGCAAGTAATACTGACAGATTCTCCCAAGGTTAATAATTCTTGTTAAGTCTTAAAATTAAACTCAGCCTAAGCGGGGGAAGGATAAGGACTGAACCTCTCATTTCAAAATGCACTAGTTAATAGAGCTCCTAGGGAGGAACTTCCTCTGCCCAAGTACATCAGTACCTTTGCTACAAATCATAGTCATAGAGAGCTGCCTAAAGCTCTGAGAGGTTAAATAAATTGCTCAGGGTGCCAGAGACTTGAACTCAGGTCTTTGTAGCTTCAAAATCTATTCTATACCCACTTTGACATGATGCCTCTTAACCGTAAGTATTCTGTATAACATAGGATTTCCTAAGGCTAGAAATAGATATATTTATGCTATCAGCAGACAAAAAGACTCAATTAACTCATCCAATAAACAGTTAGTAACAAAGGAGTGTTTATTGTAGACCACTATGAACTAGGAATGGTGAGTGAAACAAGGAATTATACAGTTCAAGACTATCGCTAACCAAGGACTAAATGACAGTACCCAACTACAGAAGATATGGACCCACAAAGGGTGTTGGGTGATCTAGCATGTGATGGAAATAAAACCGACTCATTCCTAGAAAAAAAAAATCCTGGAAATTGCTGCAAGAGTGATTGACAAATCAGCCAAAAATTCTCTTGTGCTCCAAACGGGAGCCACCCAGTGCAATGCTATCTGCCATAGCAAATGTACAGTACCCATGTTGTCTATTTAACCCAAAGCAGTCAAGCCTTACTGATTCAGACCAAGGGTGCAAAATCAATCGGAATGCCTATTTTCCAAGAAGTATTAGTTTTATTCCTTTGCAATATGTATATAGTAACTGCTAATAGGAAGTGTTGTGCAGTGAAGGTCCTAGGAGGGGATGTTTAATGACCAAATAATGCTTCATAATTAGCACAGCAATTGTAAATAAATGAGGGCTTTTAAATTACTTGAAAACTGTGTATTCTCTCCATCCATTTCAAACATTTTCCTTATAAATTCTTTACACCATTCATTTGCTTAGCAACCCATTCCTTCATAGACAGCAGACAGGTAAGCTCTGCATTTATTCTTTATCCAAAGAATCGCAACCTCCAAACCAGTTGTATCTGAACTGAAGACATTTTAAAGTAGAGTTGCTCAAAGCTAGCAAGATGTTGCAAAAACATTCCCTCAAAGCTGACAGAATAGATGATTTCAGAATTTCATCATCTCCAAGCCACAGATATGTGAAAGGACAAGAATGAAAGAATGGTCAATGAATCAGTAGGAGAATTTTGAATGGGTGTATGAATTTTGAAAGTCTTATTGGATCCAACTACTATATCCATGATGTGCTATTATAGTCATACTGAGAATGGAAGCAGATATCTATTCTAGCAGTGACAAGATAGTACTAAGCATGAATTCCACTGATTTAGGAATGATTATATGTTATTAATTCCTTATGAGCTTGAACTCTATTTTCAAATACTTAGTATCTCCCAAAGCATGAGCCCCAGGCCTGAGCCCATGGTTGGCTCTTGCTTCCTAAATAGTTAACTGCCATTTATATAGCACTTTAAAGTTTGGAAACTGTTTTGCAAGAAGTATAAGATTTTATCATCACGACAATATGGGAGGTTGATGCTATTTTTATCCTCATTTTTCAAATGAGGGAACTGGGGAATATAGAGGTTAAATGTTTTGCTAGTAGATGTCTGAGGCTGGATTTGAACTCAAATCTTCCTGACACCAGGTCTAGGACTCTTGGGACTGTACCACCTAGCTGCCAAATGAGTCATTATTTATTTACTGATTTGTTTTTGGCTAGACAATGGGGTTAAGTGACTTGCCCAGGGTCACACAGCTAGTAAGTGTTATGTGTCTGAGGCCAGATTTGAACTCCCTCCCCCTGAATCCAGGGCCGGTGCTCTGTCCACTGTGCCACCTAGTTGCCCCTATTATTTATTAAAATAATCAGAAATAATCAGAACCCAATTCCTTTGGGTGCCCATCATTGCTTCTAGCATACTGCCGTACATGTACTAAGCATTTGATAGATGTTTACTGATGGATTTCATTTCTGCCAATATTGACTTCTCTCCTTAGGCCTCCCCCACTTATGATACCATCTTCCAGATGGAGTATCTGGACATGGTGGTGAATGAGACACTCAGGCTCTTCCCACTTGCGGGACGCCTAGAGAGAATCTGTGAGAAAACTGCTGAGATCAATGGGATAATCATTCCCAAGGGGACAGTGGTGATGGTCCCTGTCCACATTCTGCATCATGACCCAGAGTACTGGCCAGAACCTGAGGAGTTCTGTCCTGAACGGTACGTGAAGGGAAGGCCATAGGTTGGTTAACTTTAGAGGGCCACTTGTTGAGACTTTGAGGAAAAGGTAATCAGGATGCTTCCGTGAGATGTGGATCATAGACAGTTAGCCCTAGCATCTCCAGTCAGGGAGCCTTTATGATATGGGGTCATATATTGTGCATGGAATTTAATTAACTGTATTGAAGAAAATGACAATGAGACTAGCTTTGAGCAGCTGTAACACTGGGGTTTATAGCTAGATATTAAAGCCAGAGCCATGGGGAGATTGGCCCAGGGCCAGACAAATGAGCAACAAGGAAGGGTAAAGATGTGTTGAAAATAAAATGCAATTTCCCAGCTGTGATTATGAGCAAGTCTTATTCTGGCATCACTGTGGGGTCAAAACCTGACAAATGAGGCAGGAACCAGTGATGGCAATAGAGACCCTGGAGCAGGAAGCTGATCAAGATTTAGAAGCCTCAGGTGTGGGTTGTAGAAGTATTAAGTGTAACTTCAGTCAGGGACAAGCCCTCAAGTTTGGGCAAAGGTCAGTATCTTCTTTGTACAAATCCACATATTAACAATGATGATGATGATGATGATGATGATGATGTGATGATGATGATGATGATGATGAGAATAGTAAGGATGGGGACTGGGCCTATAGTTTCATTGGTATAAGGAACTGCCTCTACTAATGCAGGTAGGCATCTTCTCTGAAATTTAGTGTCTTAGAGTGCCTAGAGCTCTGAGACGTTAAAAGTCTTACTCTCATACAGCCTGTGTGTGAAAGGAACAACTTACACCTGGGTCTTCTGGTTCTAAGGCCAGCTCTCTGTGCACTATGCCATGCTGATAATGATATTATTATTAATTAATAAAAAAGAAGAACTGGGAATTGTACCTAGGTGAGCTGATTCCCAATCCAGGGCTATTTTGCAAACTTGCTTTACAAATCTACCTGTTTCCCAGAAACAGAAGTTTTTACCCAATGTATTCATAGGGGACAATTAAACAGCACAGCCTGTGTGCACAGCAAATTCTGAAAGGAATTTTGGCCTCTCCTGAGACAGCCGCATCATGACCCAGCTGCCTCTGCTTAACAGCCAAGTCTATATACCTAATTTTAACCCAGGTTGGCATTATCACTGGTGGCAATGGCATTGAAAGCCTTTCCTAAGGTATGTAACTAAGGGAATTGTCCTGGACTTTATGGTTCTGAGAAAGGGGACCAGGCAGCTGGAACTGCCTGGGAGACAATAAGATTTAGAGAAGGAGGTAGTGCCACCAGCTGGTGATAAGAAAGACCTGAGGTGCTTTTACATATAGGCAGTCATATTTAAAAGGGTGGCAACAAAGGTCTGCTTTCTGGTTGCTGGGCAACAATGACTCCATCTCCATTTATACACCTTGATCCCTTCCCCTTACCTCAAGCTACATGTAGTACCAACGACTTCTCACTTTCAAGATTTCTCTGGTATTCATTTTAACCCAATTTTCACCTTTTAAAAAATCACCATGGCTATTCCTGTCTGCAATCACACAGACTGCCTTTCTAGGAGAGAGAGTTTGATGTTTCCTGATCTCTTCACCAATAATAATCCAGAAAACTTCATGCTTATCTGACCCCAAGAGCCCCTTCTGAATACAACCCATAGAAAAATGGAAAGAATGTTGGGTTTGGAGTCAGAAGATCTGCATTTGAATCCTGGCTCTGTCACTTGCTAGGTGAATGACCTTGGACAAGTCACTTAACTTTGGGGGGAGCCTCACTTTCCTCCTCTGTAAAATGAGGTGGTTAGACTAGATGAGCTGTAAGGTCTCTTACAGCTCTGATATTCTATGATCTCCACTCTTCGGCCCTGAAGCCTCCCAAGCTCAGAGTCCAGTCTTACTATGAATGAATGACCACATCAGCCAGTCTTATGCATGCTGCCTTGGGTGAGCATCGTTTCAAGACTGGGTTCTCAATAAACTTCCCTCTCACAGAACATGGGTCTAAGTATGGTTGGTGAACACTCTAAATATGGAGGGGAATGGAAAAGAGAAAGAAGGAACAATAAAGGAAATTTCCATGGAGTTTGGATCCAATTTGAAGGCCAAATAGGTTTTTACCTTCTCAGCATTTGTTTTCAACTTATTCTTCGGGATCAGGTTTGATCGAGAAGGAAGAAAATCCATCAACCCATATGTATTCCTTCCCTTTGGAGCTGGTCCTCGGAACTGCATTGGAATGAGGTTTGCAATGCTGACCATGAAGACTGCCCTGATCATGCTCTTACAGAATTTTACCTTGGAGACCTGCAAAGAGACCCCGGTGAGAGAAATCTTGATCTCTCTTTCCAAATCAGAATTTCTGGATTTAATATTCAATAGGTTAAGTCAGTATAACAAGTGATGTATGTTCCTTAACGAATGTAGTTCTCCTATTTTATTTTAGCATATACTCAATTTTTTCCTATTTATTGATGCCTTTTGTTTTATATTGAATTCATCTCCAAATATACTCCACCATCCAGTGAACATTCCTTTATAGCAAAGATTGAAGGTAGGGAAAAAACAGTTTAGCAAAACACTGACACATCAGTCACATCTGACCATGGATGCAACATTCCATACCTATAGCTCCCCACCTTTCCAGTGGAAGAAGAGAAGTGTTTTTCTCTTGGTCATTATAGTTACTCACCATTCAGTTGTCTTATTGTTGGTTGGAAGGGACCCCTGCATCTTATTTCTCCTTTTTATTCTGAATTGTAGGAGCTATTGAGGCAATATGGTCAACAGAAAATCTACTCCTTGAAAAACTTTGATGGTTCCCCTCTGCCTACTAAACTGAGTCTAAATTCCTTGGCCTGACCCTCAAGGCCCTCAATCTGGCACCATTCTATCTTTCTAGACTTCTCTCTCACTACTTCGGTAGCTGCAGTTAAATGTTATTAATCAACATTCCTGAACACCCTCCTGAGTTTCCCCACCTCTGTGTCTTTGCTTATGCCATCCTTTTTAGCTGGAATTCCCTTGCCCTCAGGCCCCATCTGTTGAAATGGCACCAGTATTTCAAGGCTTCTTAACTAGTTACCTCCTTGATGAAGCCTTCCCTGACATACACACTCCACCTCCCCTACACACATACACACATGCACACATATACACACCAATAATTTTGCTGGTATTGCTCTCATGGCAAATATCCCATGTTGCCTTTGAGCAATGTTTTTATACTTGTCTTATCCTGTGCACTAGATGATAAATTCTTGGTGGAGAGAAGGAGTGATCATCTTTGGGTGCCCCATAAGTACCTAGCACTGTGCCATATGCATAGTAGGCATTCAATTAAATAAACAAATATTTGTCAGATTTAATTGAGTAGAAATTTAGAACTGCAGAGGACCTTTAGAACCATAGTCATAGATTGTTCTCAGAAAACCTTCTTTTATTCTTTCTTCAGAGCCGCCAAGCTAGGTTCTATTGACTGAGGAGAGCAGTATTCAAGTCATAAAGGGATTCAGAGCATAGGTGTCAAACACAAGGTCCTTGCAACCTACAGCATTCTTTTTGAATTCCAGATTAGAATGTATTTAGGAAATATTTAACATATATATATGTATGTATGTATGTACACATATATGTATGTATATACACATACATGCATATGTATATGTATACACATGCACACACACATATTTGTATGTATGTATGTATACCCTGGATTGAAAGGTACTTGTGAAATATTTAGCAAAATAAATAAAAATGCAATAAGAATAGATCACATTATAGCTTGAAAATAAATCAATATATAGCCACCAGGTATCCTTATGTATGGTTTAGTGGCCCCCAGTTTCCTGTTTGAATTTGACCACACTGGTTCAGAGATAGAAGGAACCATAGGCAAGGGTGTCATGAAACTCAAATGAGAGGGTAGTTGTAAAGCATTTGGCAAACCTTAAAATACTATGTAAATGCCAGTTGTAGTTTTCATTATTATATATGCAATATGTAATATATAACAATATATGATTGTCATAATAATCATTATGATTATTGTTATCAGCCTATAGTCACCAGGCCTCCAAACACACACTGCTGATTCAAGCCACATTTATACAGCAGTAGAGGAGCATGTTGGAAAATGTTTAATAACTGGGCAGGCATGGGAGGCAGAATGTATTTAAGTTTAGTCTGCATAATTAATACTTTAAGTCTAGACCATCACCAAAACAATGAATCAAGTCCTGATTGGTAGCGATTTGAAGTGTTAAGTTCTCACACTGAAAATTTCACAATCCTCAGAGCCGCTGAGAGCTGGCTCCACACACCCTTGCCCAGGCCTATCACACACATGCTATTTCTAATCCCTGGGATGCACAACTTCTTGGACTCTACCTCCTGGAATCCTAGATTCTTTCCAGGTTTATCTCAAATGCTTTTCCTACTTGAGGACATTCCTAATACCCCTCCTCATACTGTTTGTGTTCTCCTTACCACTGAAATCATTTTATATTTTCTTTCTGTGTGTCCATAAACACACACATAAGAAATTTTCATACATACATATATGTATACACATACACACACACACACACATTTGTATCTGAACATGTTTACCTTTCAATACAATGCAAACTCCTTGAGGGACTGTTAAGTTTTGGTCTTTGCATTCTCTAGCTCCTAGCATATCCTAGCATCCCTAGTGCCTCGCATATAGTTGGTAAGCATTAATTAAAATTAATTAATAATCAAGTAATTCAGTACATTCCATTTGTTTCCCTCTACAGATTCCCTTGGAATTAGACACAAAAGGTTTTATGAAGCCCAAGAAGCCAATCATTCTGAAGCTTGTGCCTAGAATAAGATTTGATGCTGAGGAAAAGAAACCAAGGAATTGATGGCATTAAAAAAAAGACTCTTCACTCAACCTCACCCTCTCATCACTCTCCCAACCCCTTTCAAAAAAAAAAAAAGAATAAGAATTGGAAAATTTCTATGAAAATTGCATATTAAATATGTTCTATTTCAGAAGCCATGGGATATAGTCCATAGAATTCTGTATTCAAATCCTGCCTCTCACACTTTCTAGTTATGTGATCACCTATAACTCACATCTCCTCTGAGACTCGGTTTTCTTACTGTAAAATGGGAATGACAATATCTATAATACACACTTCACAAGGTTTTTGTGAAGTTCAAACGTGGCGATGCATAAATGATTGGTCATTTTTTCACAGTAGCATTAGAAATCACATGATCAAGCCAGGGTGAAGAGGGCCTATCCCAAATTCTGTCTTCAATCTTTGGGTACCTTTCTCTCCATCCTTTCTTTCCTCAAACAATATAAAGCCAAAAGTCAATCCAGAATTTTAAGACTTCAACTCTTCCCATTGAAAACTATATATTGTGTAGGGCTTTCTGGGTAAGCCATCATATTGTCTGTACAATAGGGACCATTTTATCTCCTCTTTGTCAATATTTATACTTTTAATTAAATTCTATTGTCTTACTGCTGTCATTAGCCTCTCCAGAACCAGGTAAAATAATAATGGGGAGAATTCTAACCAACTGCCTTAGCTCATCCCATCCCAAAGATCAGTCTAAAAGATGCTAACTTCTAAGGTCTTTATGTTTTTCTATCCAATCTTTCCTTACTTAAACTGTAAATTCCTTCTGGTACACCAAGGGTCTTCTACAGTGCTCAGTGTTCAGCACCTTGAACAGCCTGTATGCTCAATAATATCAGTTAATGCTAATACTGATTAATGCCACCCTCTTTTAATTTGTATTTTGATACTTGACATGAAAGATAAAAATTACATGTTTTTCTATACATCAGAGAGTAAGGCTGGGACAAACTCTACCCAGGATTCCAAAAGGATTAAGAGAGACCAGACACAGTAACACTGTATAAAGGCAGTCTTTTCTTTAAAGTCTTGGTCCTGGCAGAATGCAACACATGGGAATCCTTTGTGCTTACTTGTGACTCCCTTCATTGTGAATCTTGGTCCTTGAAAGGTCACATGGTAACTCCATAGTGATTTTACTTACCTGGCCAAATGGTTGATAAGTGACCCAGATAAACGAAGGGAAAGGAAAAATGGTGAGGCTTCTTTATACTAGCACTATAGATGTCTTTCAACATTTCTACAAACGAAAGTACTTTTGGAGTTAGAGGACCAGAATTCAAATTCCACCTCTGGTTCTTACCACTTGTATGACCTTGTACAAATCATTTAAACTTGCTGGGCCTCAATTTCCTCATTTACAAAATCAAAAGGTTGAGCTATGATCCTATGACTCAAATGAATAAACTTTTTTAGGCTTGTTTTACACAGGGAGGAGAGCAAGATGTAGGTAGGTCATAAAATTCTTTTCTAAGATACATTACGATAATTTTAAGCAAGTTACCTGCTAATCATAAGAGGTCGGGTTACATAGGCAGGAGCAGATTAAAAAAAAAACTTATGATAGAGAAAATTAAGACTTGTATTCTGGGAAGATGGTGGAGTAGGTCAGGAATTTCCAGGCTCTCCAAATTTCCCCCCCAAACAGAAAATAGACACAAAATGGATGTAGACCAGCAAAAACAAAGGAGTAAAGCAGTTGTCCTCCTAATACATCTTGAGAGGACCTCAGAGAAGATTCCAGGGGCTGAAGTTTGGCCTAAGTGAAGTGGAGACACCTCCTGGTCACTCCACTGCTTCAACAAACAGTAAGCCCCGTGGAGAATGATGAATTGGATGCTCTCAGAAAAGCCTGGAGAGACCTGCATGAGCTGATGCAATATGAAATGTACTATGTAGAACTTATTGTATGTAAGATAATCACCTTTGAATGACTAGGCTATTCTCAACAAAGCAATGATCCAAGACAACTCTAAAGAACTTATGGTGAAAAATGCTATCCATCCTCAGAGAAAGAATGGATGATGCCTAAATACAGATTGAAACAGTCTTTTTTTTTTTACTTTATTTTTCTTGAGTTTTTTTTTTTGTTCGTTTTTATTTTTGGTCTATGTTTCCTTTCACATTACGACTATTATGGAAATGTTTTGCACAACTACATATGTATAATCTAAAACAAGTATACTGTTAAGCATAATTTGTACTTCAGTCTGACATCATGAAATCAAATGATGACTATTTAAAATTTTCACATAAAGATGTATCTTTTTTTGCAATTGGTTAATTTTGTTTTCATAATTTTCTTTAACACCAAAGTACCTATCTATGGTAGGGTTCTTTTTCCTTTGCTTACCCATTTTGACTTTTACTTTGTCTTATTTTATTTTTGTCAGCTAATTATTAGTATTACTATAATCAAGTTTTAATTCCTAGTTGTAGGTAAAGTTGCCCTAGGCTTACAATTCTATTTACTGGTTTGTTTGGTTTTTTTTCTTAATTCTGTCCTGAGGCTCAACCTCAGGGACTTCTCTCCTCCTCCCTTAAGCCACAGTTGTAACACCATCCATGCTGTTCAGAAAATGTTCTTGCTTCCTGCAGTACCACACCAACCAGATACACAGTTGCTGCTCCCCCTCTCCCCCACCGCCCCACTATAGCCACAGCCTTTGATCATCTGCTCAGCTCTGCCAAGTGCAAACTTCAAAAACAGCAGGAGATCTGTCTTTGAGCCAATTCTGATGAAAGTAAGGTTCACTCACTCCCCCTCACCTCTTCATTCTTCCCTTGGACAGTATAACCTTTTTCTTACCTCTTTCATGTGAGATAACATAGCCCATTCTATCTCTCCATTTTCCTTTCTCCCAGTATTTTCCTCTCTCATCCCTTAATTTTACTTTTTTTAGATACCATCGCTTCATAATCAGCTCACACCTGTGACCTCTGTCACACTTGTGACCTGTCTGTCTCTTTCTATCTGTCCTAATGAGAAAGTCCTTATGAGTTACAAATATAATCTTCTCATGTAGGAATGTAAACAGTTTAACCTTATTAAGTCCCTTATGATTTTCCTTTCCTTTTTACCTTTTTATGCTTCTCTTGAGTCTTGTATTTGAAAGTCAAATTTTCTATTCAGCTTCGGTCTTTTCATCAAGAATGCTTGAAAGTCCTCTGTTTCCTTGAATATGCATTCCCCCTCCCCCCTCCCAAGGATTATACTCAGTTTTGCTGGGTGGGTGATTCTTGGTTTTAATCCTAAATCCTTTGCCCTCTGGATTATCATACTGCAATCCTTCTGACCCTTTAATGTAGAAGCTGCTAAATCTTTTGTTATCCTGATTGTGGCTCCACTGTACTTGAATTGTTTCTTTCTGGTTGCTTGCAATATTTTCTCCTTGACTTGGAAACTTTGAAATTTGGCTATAATATTCTTAGTGGTTTTCATTTTGGGATCTCATTCAGGAGGTGATTGGTGGATTCTTTCAATTTCAATTTTACCTTCTGGTTGTAGAATATTAGGGCAGTTTTCCTTGATAATTTCTTGAGAGATACTGTCTAGGCTCTTTTTTTCTTATCATTGCTTTCAGGTAGTCCAATAATTTTAAAATTATCCCTACTGGATCTATTTTCTAGGTCCATTGTTGTTCCAATGAGACACTTCATATTGTCTTCTATTTTTTCATTCTTTCAGTTTTATTTTATTGTTTCTTGATTTCTCATAAAGTCATTAGCTTCCATTTGCTCCATTCTAATTTTTAAGGAATTATTTTCTTCAGTGAGCTTTTGTACCTCCTTTTCCATTTGACCAATACTTGTTAATGCATTCTCCTCCTCTTCATTGGCTTTTTGGACCTCTTTTACCGTTTGGTCTAGTTTGTTTTTTAGGGTGTTATTTTCTTCAGTATTTTTTGATGTCTCCTTTTCCAAACTGTTGACTCTTTTTTCATGATTTTTTTTTACATCACTCTCATTTCTCTTCTCATTTTTTCCTCTACCTGTCTTACTTGATATTCAAAATTCTTTTTGAGCTCTTCCATGGCCTGACACCAATTCCTATTTTTCTTGGAGGCTTTGGATGTAGGAGCTTTGACTTTATTGTCTTCTTATGAGTGTGTATTTTGATCTTCCTTGTCACCATAGTAACTTTCTATAGTCAGAGTATTTTTCCATTGTTTGCTCACTTTCTCAGCCCATTAGTTGACTTTTAAGTCTGTGTTAAAGTAGGGCTCTGCTTCCAGGGTGGTGGGTTACTGTTCCAAGATTCAGGAGTTTTGTGCAGCTGTGTTCAGAGATACTTCTTGGGACCTGTAAGTTTTCAGTTCTTTCAAGGTGGTATGATCTAAGAAGAGGTGTTCATTACTTTTCTGGCCTGTGCTTTGGTCTGTGAGGAACCACAAGCACTCTTTTCTGCCCTGCAACTGTGAGGATGGTTCCCCCCTCTACTGTGGCCACAAGATCTGCTATACTAGTGCTTCTACTCACCCTGGGACTTCCACCCAGGACTGCTACCTGATCTGAGTATGGGCAAAACATCACAGTTCTGCCACAGTGCTAGCAAAGAGACCCCTGTAATCTCCATCTGACCAGTGTTTGATCCCCTTGCCATCTGTGGGCTGAGAGCTACAGAAGCAGCTGCTGCTACTGCTAATTCAGTAGCTTCTTGCTCCTGCTCGACTGTGGCTGGGGCTGTGTTGACATGGCCTGTGTTGGACTGCACTCCACTCTTACCCAGGTGCCACAGAACTTTCCTGGTGACCTTTTAAGCTCCCTTTGGAGTCTGTGGGCTGAGAGGTCTGTAAACTGCCACTGTTGCCAGTGATTCTGTTGTCCAGAGGCCTGCTCCTGGTTTGGTGAGGCCAAGTCTGTGCTATCATGGCCTGTGTTTGACTGTGCTCCTCTTTCATCCTGGTGCAACAGATCTTTTCTGTTAACCTTCTACATTGTCTTGGACTGGAAAATTGTTCCATTCCTTCTTTTTGTGGGTTGTATTGCTCTAGAATTTTTCTAGTCATTAGTTAAAAGTATTTGGAGGGGTTTGGGGGAGAGCTCAGGTGAGTCCCTGACTTTACTCCACCATCTTGGCTCTGCCTCCAAAGACACAAAATCTTAAGGAAGAAAATAACTCCTTAAAAATGAGAATTGGGCAAGTAGAATCAAATGAATTTATAAGACACCAAAAAGTAATAAAACTAGAAAAAGTAGAAGACACACCTCATTATTATATCGTATCATATCACATCATATCATAAAGGAGACACATCTCATTAGAAAAACAACTGATATAGAGAATAGACCAAGGAGAGACAATATAAGAATTGTTGAACTACCTGAAAATTATGAATAAAAAAAAATCATGGTATGATATTGCAAGAAAGTATTAAGGAAAATTGCCCTAAAGTTCTAGAACTAGAGAGTAAAGTAGAAATAGAAAAAAAAAATCCACTGTTTACCACCTGAAAGATGTCCCAGGAAGAAAATATAAAGGAATATTATAGCCATGTTTCAAAATTCCTAGGCTAAAGAAAAAATATTGCAAGCAACAAGAAAAGAACAATTTAAATATTGTAGGTAAACAGTCAGGATTTCACAAGACCTCCTACACTAAAAGACAATA